ATCTTTATGTGATCAAAGGGAGCGGCAGGTTTTAGCCAGATGGAGTTTACCCCAGGAATGCAAAGATGGTTTGATATTATGAAACCCAATACCATAGGAGGTCTTCCAAAGAGAAAACCATATGATTATATTGGGGAATTGTGCAAACGCCTCCCACCTCCCCTTGCTCTGTGTGTATGTGTGAATAAGTGTCTGTCTGTGTGGCTCTGGGGTTTGAACTCGGCCTTGTTCTGCTAGGTAGGCACAAGGTTGCTTGCATCAGATCTCAGCCTTTTTCCTCTGGTTAGTTTTGAGACAGTGTCTCACTTGTACACCTTGCCTGGGTAGCATAGAGATCTTCTTATGACCCACACAGACCATCAGTGCCACCAGGGCCCGGGCTTAACTGCCAGCCCAGTCCTGGTGGAGATGAGAATGTGGAGCTGGCAGTGCATGTGCGTGTGCTGAGGCTGCTTGCACTTCCATGGATGCAGGTCCTCAGGAACATTCCCCATCCCCAAAGACCCAGAGCCCCTGACCACGCCCTGAATGACAGGAAGTCACAGTGAGGGGGAGGGCCCAGGCAGCACCGGCCTCTCGGCTGTGGTCTGCAGACGGCTAACTGAATACATATTCTTACATACATATTTTAAAGTTTGTCTGGGGGTGGGGGCTGGGAGTTAACGCCGGCGTGCTCAGTCAGCAGGGCCAGGGCCTTGGTGTGGGGCGTGCCCACCGGAGGGAGCCCCTGGGCTGTCCTGGCACAGATCAAGGACTGGCCTGGCGTCCCACACAGCTAGGAACAAAGCCAGGTGACCCAAAGCCACGCTGTAGACATAGTGAAAGGGACCCTACACCTTGGGGGTGGCACAGGTCCTGCATCCTCTCTGTGAAAGTGTTTGTCCTCTGGGCAGGCGAGGCTGGCCGACATGTAGGTATCTGAGCCCAGAGAAGACCCCAATGCCAGGCTTTGAGCACAGTGGCCTGGAGTGGAGGTGACCTCCACAGGGATGGGTCGGGGCCACTGCTGGGCATTGTGGGCCATGTTGGCAGGGAGCCCATCAGACCTGAGCCCCACACACAAAGGGGGGCCTCATAACCGAAGCAGCCCTGACCCATGCTCTCTAGCCTGCCACGCCCTAGACACGGGCATCTGCCAAAGCGGCTCCGATGACCAGGGAGCGCAAAAACAGGGGGCCAGCAGCAGGGGGGCAGCAGCAGGGGTGCAGCAGCAGGGGGCAGAACAGGCCCAGCTGACAGGGAGGACTTCCCCAGACGCAGGGAGGACTTCCCCAGACGCAGGCCGGGCCTCACGAGAAGGGTCTGCCTCCCACCCCGCTGCCCTCCTCCCCACCGCCCTCCTCCCCGCCACCCTCCTCCGGCTCCTGGATGCCCTCCACAGCCTCCGGTCCTAGTCAGCCCTGCTGCTTCCTTTGCCTGGAAGGTGCCGCCCTTGCCTGGCTGACCTCGCTCACCTCGCTGGACTGGGCTCCAGGGGAAGTGCTTGGGGGCTGAGGGTGGGGGGAGCGGGGGTGGAGGAGGGAGGGAGCCTTGCAGCCCTGCTGGGCTCCGCCCACCATGCCCCTCACCACACCAGTGTTTGCTTCTCTGGGTTGCAGAGTGTCTCACTGGCTGCTCCACAGGTTTGGGGTCGGCCCTTGAGATCAAGGAGCGTCTCCTATTTGTCTCTATCCATGGCCAGATGATGAACTGAGCTATTTGGGTGCAACAGTTGGGGAAGGAAGAGATGCTTTGTGAAAAGTCTTCAGAGAAGAGGGTGTCTTTGCTGGGTATTGAAGGATGAATAGGAGTTTGCCGGACAGGGCAGTCCCAGTAGGAGAAAGCCTTTGCAAAGGATACAGTGTGGGGAAGGATGTGAGAAGCAGCTGGAAAAACTTGAGCCCAAGTGGGAGGTGGTAAGAAAGAGGCCCGAGGGACGGCTGGGAGGGCCTGGCCCTCTCAGGGAACCAGCCCCTCAGGTCTCCTCTAGGCCAAACTCAGTCTCTGCTTCAGACAGCCAGCCAGTGCTGGCTGGAGGGGGGGAGGGGGGCACTGGTGCGGGGACTGGAAGTCGGTCACCTGGGGCCTGCCGAGGGCAGTGCAGCTTGCAGGGAGGGGGTGAGGAGGTGCTCCCTCGTGCCTTGGTCTCCCCTGCCAGGGTGGGGGTGGGGGGCCCGGGGACCGCTGGGGAAGCCTGCTGGCCAGTGGCTGGGTCTGTCCAGCTCCAGCTCTGTCCAGCCCGCCCCCTTCCCCTCTTGCCTCCCCTGTCCCTCCCCCTCCCCCTCCTCCCCCCTCCCCTGCCCGCTGGTGCAGGGCTTCTGCCCAGAGCCCGATCTTCCTCTCCCTAGAGGCCGGGTGTCCTCGGGGGTGCAGGGTGGGTGCAGAGGGGCCGGCCCCAACCAGGGACAGGTCTGCATGGAGGGCCGAGGGGTCTGCCCCTGGTTAGGTGGTAGTGAGGGCTACCGGGGCCCCAGCAGATTCTGGGAGGAGCCCCCCCCAGGTGCTGGGGTGGGCCCTCGGGCACAGGGTCAGCCAGCTCTTCTGACTCTTCTGGGTCACAGAGCCCAGGCTTCCTCCGCCCATGGCCAGTTCCAGAGGCCCCGGTCCGTTTCGGGGCAGCCCTGGAGTTTGAACCCACGGCCTTGCCCTCGCGGGGCAGAGCTCACGGCGGAGTCCTGCCTCCAGCCCTCGTCGCCTTGGGTTTGGGTGGAGTTTGATCTCAGGGCCTTAAGCTCTTCCTTAGCTTTCTTTCTCACAGCCAGCACTCGACCACTTGAGCCGTGCCTCTAGTCTGGCTTTTTGTCGGGTCATTGGAGATCGGATCTCAAGTTTTCTCTCTTGAGCAGGTTTGACAGCTTGACCCTCTGGATCTCTGTTTCCCGCGTGGCTGGGATCCTAGGCTTGAACACTGGCGCCCACCCTGGTCTAGTTACTTTTGAGGTAGGGTCCTGCGGGTTTGCCTGGGGTAGACTCACGCCGGAGTGCTCCCACTAACACCTCTCTAGTGCCTGGGACTAGCGTCATTTCTGAGGCGAAGGCAAGACCTGCCGTGGGCTTCCCATGCTCTCTGGACCAGTAGGTTCTGAAGCTGGTTCCAGGCTAAGCAGCTGGGGGGGAGGGGGGAAGGAGACCCTCCCCCTCTCTCCCAGGGTTTCCCACACAGGCTCCAGGGGCTGCTGACTTGGGACACGCAGCCGACCGGGAAGACAGCGCTGCGCTTGGCCGTGGACGGGGGTGGGCGGTGGGCTGTTGTGAAATATACATTTGGTCTTGTCCGCTTCCTGGCATGTACATTCCGGACACCCTTGGAATCAGCTGCGTGATTTGTTTTGTAGCTAAATGGACAGACAGATGGCCGGAAGCCGGTAGCGGGCTGCAGGCCGGTTGTAGGAAAGCCGAGGCAGGGTTGGGGCTCTCCCTGCAGCGGGGGACGTGACCAAGAGTGGAAGGCCATGAGGACGGGCTGGGGGCTTCCGGGAGAGCCGGCCACGGGAGGTCCCGGAGGGCCAGCCCCTCCCCTCCCCCACCCTCTCCGCTGCTCCTCTCCTCATCCGGGTCCTTTGAGATCCGCCAGGAAACACAGGCGTGTCCCTGGAAAATTCATCAACCCAAGGGCGGGGCTGGGACCTCCAGTTTGTAGCTGGCGGGTCGGCAGCTGGGGTCGCCCCCAGGCGCCTGTGCTGGCAGGGAAGCCGGTGCAGGCTGGGCTGGGAAGTCCCCGCCCGTCCCGCGTGGCTGGTCTCTGGGCTGGGCTGCCTCTGGAGCACCGATGGTATCTGCAACGTGGGGGGGGGGGGCACAGGTTCTCTGTGAAGACAGAGGAAGCAGTGGGGGCTCTCTACACAGCGGGGCCTCGAACCTGGGGAGGCAGATTCAGCGCTTCTGGGCCTGGCCTGGCCTTACACCCCTCCCTGCCCCTGGCCAGGCCGGTCCTCCCACGGGTGCCTGGCCTGGAGCCAGGCGTCCCAGGAGCCTCTCCGCAGGGCGGCCTGGCCCCATGCGGTCAGTGCCCGGTAAGCGTGGAGCCTCTGCCAGGTGCCGCCTAGCCACGAAGCCACGCGTGGCCCGAGCCGGAGGCCCCAGGCCCGCGGGCCAGACCTCCCCTCCGCTGCCGAGACGGTGCCGAGGCTCCCGCAGCTCGGGGGGCTGCGGGGCGGGGTGTCAGGGAAGGGGGGACGGCTGCCGCCGTGCCAGCCGGGGCTCCATCCGACCCGACCGCAGCCTCTGGGAGTGGGGAGCCTGTCTTCGGGGGCCCTGCCCCGCGCACCCCTCCCCGGAGCTTCCCCAGACTCCAGAGACACCCCCCCACACACACGGAAGAGTGCCGTCCCTCCACGGCCACGGCGTGTCACTTTTTATTTTCTCGGGGTTCTTTGTGGTCAGACAGGACACAGTGCACATGGGGAAAGGGGGTTCTGGTCGCTAAATGGCAGGAAGCAGATTTGGTGCCAACTCCCCCCTCCAGGGCCCAGCCAGGCTGGCGAGCAGCGAGTGCCGAGCGGGGGCTCGTGTGCAGCGGTTGAGGAGACGCGCAGGCGTGACTCGCGCGGAGACAGACGGGGCACACGGGGGTCGGGGAGCCGGCCTCGGGGGTCAGGCCCGGCGGGGCGTCGGCATCCTGGCAGGCACGCACCTCCCCCACTCCCCACGGCCGAAGCCTGTGCGGGGGGGGGGCGCAACGCGGGGGGCAGCCTTCTGCTCCGTGTCGGGGACCCCACCTTCTCTGGAGGCAGAGACGGGGAGCAATGGCGTCTCCACCCTGCTCCACCCGTGTGGTGGGCGCCCACCATGGGGCGCACAGGAGCAGGGAGCCGGACCCCGCGGGCACCCTTTATTCCAGGACCTCAGCCACCGGGGCAGGTTTTCTCTCCAGACTTAAAAAGTACCAGCGCAGGAGCCGGTAGAGGCCACGCGGCACGCGGGTTTGCCCACGGCACTAGCTGGGGTCTCCTTCCAGGCCGTCCCTTGTGACACAGAGGAAGGAAGAGAGGTGAAGGGGGTGGGGAGCCCCAGGCCGCGGGGGAGGTAAGGCGGGGTCGCTCCCCGTGGGGACGCGCCCAGAACTAAATGCTGCACGTGGGCTGTGGTGGGCATGAGGAAGCTAGACTTCTTAGTAAAATAAAAACCTCTGTGCTGTTGACAAGCTGTCACTTAGGTGTCTAGGGGATGATTGGGAAGGGGGGTCACACGCGGGCATGGGCTGGGGCACCCTGTCTGGTTGACGTTCAGCCCCCCCCCAATAGAAGAGACTCGTCACAGCCAGCTGGAACAGTGACCGCCGCTGCTTGGCACCGCGCTGCGCTCTGGCTGCGCTGGGTGGCGTCTGTGGCTGGCGTCTGTGGCTGGCGGGCCCCAGCCATCGCCGGACCCAGAGCCTCACACGGGGCCTGGGCACTGCAGGGGCCGGGAAGGGGCTCCAGGATGACCCGGCCGAGCCGAGGAGGGGGTGTGTGGGCCAAGCTGGCCCCCTGGCCCTAAACTACAGGCAGTACGGGGCCCCTGGCCCCCATGTCCCCAGGGCCGCCCCCGCCGGCCCCCGCCCGCCAGGCCGAGGCTCGGGGGGGCCTTCATGACACCGGGGCCAGGCGCTGGCTGGCGCCGTCAGAAGAGCAAGGCCTTTTTCTTGAGGTCGTTCCGCTTCCACAGGGCCAGGCGGTCAAACTCCTCCACGCTCATGCCGAACACCTGCTGGAACTCGTCGGCGGACAGGTGTCTCTTCAAGCAAGGAGAAGGGGGGCGGGGGGGGGGAGTGGTGAGCAGCCTGGCCGGCCTTGGCGGCCGCGGTGGACGCACCTTCCCTGTGCCCGGCCCCTGGCGGCCTCGGCCCCACAGGAGCGGAGCTCTGAGGCTGGGGGCTCAGCTGGGGCTCCCCCCACACACCCAGCGCACAGCGGGGTCCTCCGCTCCACCCAGACTGGCCTTCCCCGTGGGCCTGCAGCAGCCCTCCCACCCCCCACCATGTCTGGGGCTGTGAGCGGCCTCAGGTGGCCGCGTTGTCACCTCTCCTGTCATAGCTGCTGGCTGTGGGCACCAGGCGGGCGGCACGGTGCCCTGCTACCCCGTGTTCCCACAGAGGAGGCTGTGAGGCCCCAGGACAGAGAGGCCCCGGCCAGGTCCCCGCACAGGTCTCCCCCATCCTGGACGCCAGAGCCCGGGGCCCCGCACCAGGCAGCAAGCGCGGCCGGCCTGGCTGGGCTGAGCCCCCAACCTCGGCTGGCAGCCCTCTCCACCGGCTCCCAGAAAGCCCTCACTGCTCCCGCCCACTCACGCCCTCCCCCAGGAGCCGACCCAACATTCCGGGGCTTTCCAGAGTGTGTACTGCCCCGCACAGTCCCACCTGCCCGGCCGGCCAGAGACCCAGTGGCGGCAGCCAGCCTGGCCCAAGAGTCCGAGTCTTCCCAGGCTGCTGCGGTGGGGACGTTGGGTGGGGGGCGGCGGGCGGGGAACGGGGGCCGGCAAGGGGCAGGTGTGGTTGCTTTTGTGCTGCTGAAAGTGTTTTGGAACTGGTTGGTGGTGGTGGGCACAAAACACTGAGTGAGCACTGGTGAGCCGCGGCCTTCACTACGGTGGACAGTTCTCACCCCAGATGGCGCCGTGCGCGTCCTCAGCCTTGAAGCAGAGCCGCGCCAGGCTGGAGGGGGAGCGGCAGCCGACGCGATCGGCCACATCCGGAGGACCCGAGACGCACTCTATTCACCAAAGTCCTGGAATCTGCGTGGCATGCAGTGTGGGAGCCAAGTTCCCCAGCATGTCCAAGGCACACACACAAGCACAGGTGTGCACACTCATACACACACACGAACAGAAGCACGCACAACATACAACAAAGCACACGTGTGTGCTCCTCTGTGGGTCATACGTGCACACAACGCATACACAAATATACACATAACGTGTGTACAGGGCACACACGGGATCAGTGTTCACATCTGTGCACATGTGTGAACACACGTGGTGTCACTTGCCACACACGAGCACACATGCAGGCGCGTGAACACCCATACCCAGGCACACAGTGGTCACAGAAGCACACACAGGACGCAGCCAGCAAGCCCCCGGACGAGGCCTGGCCGCCCGCCGGCTGTCGTTAGACCGGCGCTCCTGACAGCGATGAGCCAGGACATGTCAGATGCTGAGGGGTCACTGGAGACCACGGCCGGCTCACACCAGAGCCGCAGCGCCATCCGCTGCCCCGTCCCCAGTGAGCGAGAAGAGGGCAAGGCGTGAACAGCTCTCCAACCCACAATCACACAGCCTGCGATGTACAGGCCCGCCCGACACCCAGGATGCTCGAATTCGGGGTCCCGACGGGGCTAGAAGGAGTGCGTAACAAGGAAAGGCCAGAGACTGAGGTGTGCTCCTGAGAGCTGGTGCTTCCGGCTGGGGGGGGGGGGGGGGGGGGTGGGGGTGGGGGATGGGGTGGGTGCTGAGGGGGAGGGGGGAAGGGGGGAGCCGGTCACTGGCGGGCTGGCAGGGTAGCTTCGTGCGACCTGCGATGGTGTGGTTAACGGGGAACACGCCAGGCTGGAGGTGGGGAGCCCCCCATAAGCTAGGGAAGGGGGGTGAGGGTGAAGCCCACACTTGGCTGTGGGCAGCTGCCGGGACATCAGTGGCGTCGTGTGCACGGCGGCCGTGCACGCTCAGGGATGGCGTCACCCTCCTCCCTAGGTCCCTGCGCCTGCCGCGTCCACCGTGTCCGCGACCTGGACTTGGGTCTCGGGCCTCCAGGAGGCCCTGCTACGGCCCTCACCTGGGCTAGGGAGGCCCTGTGGCTGCTAGCCCCTGGCAGGACCCAGGGAGGCCTGGGGGGCCGTTATGGGGCCCCGTCTGTGGGGCCGTGGGGACAAAGGCTTTCCCCACGCACCCTGCCGCTGGCCAGGCACCAGGCCCACTCCGGCCCAGCAAACCCAGCGTGCCCGTGCCCTCCCACCCCAGAAAACCACAGCACGCCCGCCACAGCCCGGCTCTGCCCGGACCTCCTGCCCTGGAGCCATGGCCCCTGCGGGCGTCCCCACAGCCTCCAGCCCTCCAGGAGCCTCCTGGGAGACAGCAGCACAGCCTCCAGAGGCCCTGCCCGGATTGCAGGGCGCTCAAACCTGACGCATCGGGGCGCAGCCCTAGGGCCGTGTCTGTCAGACACTAGGCATTAGGTAGGCACAGGCACCGGTGGCCCCGCCTGTCACCCCACTACTCCGGAGGCTGAGATTCGAGACTCCTGGTTTGAAGCCAGCTTAGGAAGAAAAGACTCTCACCTCCAATTACCTACTCAAGCACTTGCCTTGAGTTGAAGAGCGCAGCGACAGCGCCCAGTTCCTGAATTCAAGCCCCACCACCACCACCACCAACAAAAACATGGACAAACATCTGGTTTTGGGTGAAGCCGATTAACCGTGAATAGATGGGGGTGCACCCCGGACTTGGACGCTGCTCCACGAGTTGAAGGCTGCGCAAGCAGCACCCACAGCCACCCTTGACCAGCCCCGCCCCATCCCGACGCCTGGCGCCCTCTTCCTGTCTCAGGAGGCCGGCCTTGGAAACCAGCCCCTTTCAAGAAGATCTAAGCATGAGCCAGCACAGAAAGCGCAGTCAGGAGATGGGAGACACTGCCAGCCCTGGATCAAGCCAAGCCTGAGGCCGCAGATCCCTGTTGTGAAGTCCCCTCGCACCTGACACCTAGGAGTTACAGCAAAGCCAGGCGGATGCGCCTCCCTCGGGTGCAGTGTCCTTGTCACCTGGCCAGGGTCACCCGCCATGCTAAGCCGGGTGAAGCCCGTCTCTGCTGCCCGCAGTCACTCACTCGGTGACTCTCAGTGTCTGCCTCTTCAAGGTGCAGACATGAAGGCTAAGGACAGAGGCCGCGCAGAGCCAGGGCGCCCCCTGCAGGCGTGCTCGGCAGACTACACTCACCGGCCTCAGGAGTCTGCACAGGCCTCTGCTGTGAAGGGCCTGCGCATTCTCCTCCCCAGCGGCCCCCCTTCCGCTGCATCCTCAGGACCAGCTTGGGTGCCCCCAGCACGGGTCTCCCATCCCCTGCGGCCATCCGCCCCACCGCAGAGGCCGAGCCTGTGGATCTGCTCAGTCTCCACCCCGTCGCCCTCCGAGTACAGAGCCCGGTCCGGTGTCTATCCATCCCACGCCCCTCCCCTGACACCGCACAGACTCCTGGCCTCCTGAGGCTCCGTGTCCCGGCCAGAGGCCGGCCAGGGCCTGGGCCATTCACCGAGTCCTCGCATGTCAGCCCTGGTGCATAGTAGGTGCTCAGCGAAGTTTCTTCTTCCAGCCAACCAATGTTCACTAACACTGCTATGCTGACTGAGCCAGCCCTCCTCCCGTGACCACGGCCCACACCCGCAGGGGCAGCGTGGCCGCAGCCTCGCCGCCCTTCTTGCTTCTTCCTCCAAAACCCGTGGGGGCTGGGCCATAACCACGTTCCCGAGCCTCACCCCTGGACCCCAGTCCCTCTGCTGTCCACCTCTCCCCCTGGGCCCAGCCCCTCCCCACTGTCCACCCCTCCCCTGGGCCCAGCCCCTCCCATCTGTCCACCCCTTCCCCCGTCCACCTCTCCCCCTGGGCCGTCCCTCCCTGCTGTCCACCCCTTCCCCCTGTCCACCTCTCCCCCTGGGCCGTCCCTCCCCACTGTCCACCCTTCCCCTGGGCCCAGGCCCTCCCCATTGTCCACCCCTTCCCCCCTGCTGTCCACGTCTCCTCCTGGGCCATCCCTCCCCGCTGTCCACCTCTCCCCCTGGGCCCAGTCCTTCCCCGCTGTCCACCCCCTCCCCTGCGCTCAGTCCCTCCCTGCTGTCCACCCCTCCCCTGGGCTCAGTCCCTCCCCGCTGTCCACCTCCTCCCCTGGCCTCAGTCCCTCCCCACTGTCCACCCCTCCCCTGCGCTCAGTCCCTCCCCGCTGTCCACCCCTCCCCTGCGCTCAGTCCCTCCCTGCTGTCCACCCCTCCCCTGGGCTCAGTCCCTCCCCGCTGTCCACCCCTCCCCTGGGCTCAGTCCCTCCCCGCTGTCCACCCCTCCCCGCTGTCCCCAGGCACGTGGCTGATGTCACGGTGGGGCCTCTGCGGGACCCTCCCCAGGAGCGAAGCCCCGCCCTGCTCACCTCCAGCCGTGTCCTGTCCACGTCCTTGGGCAGCTTCACGCGGATTCGGTTGGTCACGATGAGGGAGTCATAAGGGTAGACCTGCGGGAGGGAGCGGCGGTCACAGCGCCCGCGCAGCGGCCGGAGCGGGCGGGGCAGGGGAGCCCCCAAGAGCAAAACAAGGCAACTCTGAACCTGGGCAGCGGCCGGCGGGGAGAGACGGATGGACAGACGCTGGGGAGGCCCTTACCTTGTACTCTGTAAGAGAAAGAGCAGAGGCACGGGTGGTTAGGAAGCACAGGCTCCAGCTGGAGGTGAAGCCACCCCCAGGAGCCGCCCGTCCCCCGCCGCCTGCCTCAGGGGCCCCGTGGGACGTGGGAGGCCCGGTCGGGGACCCCGTGGGCACAGGGGGCATGGTCAGGGGGCTTCAGCCCAGACGGGAAGCTGGGAGATGGCACTGTGCTCCTTGGTGGACACATATCCTCTCTCGTGGTCTGGGACACCCTGAGAAGGATGTTGCCTCAGTTTACCTACCTGCACAGTGGCTACTGGAGGACAGACCTTTCTGGGGGTGGGGGGCGTCTACACTTGCACTGGCCTCTGACCACAGCCACAGCTCCTCCTCCCCCTGCCTCTTGGGTGGTACTGGAGACCTGCACGGGGCCCTGTTCTGGCTGGGCAGGTGTTCTACCGCTGGAGCCACGCCTCCAGCCCCGCTTGCGTTGGTTAGTTTTGAAGTGGGGTCTCACTTCACACCCTGGCCGGCATGCATTGCCTTCCTCCAGCTGTGCTCCTGTGTCACTGGGGACGGCTGGCGATCACACCACGGCAATCACACCACGGCGATCACACCACAGCACGAGCCACGGCGCCTCTCGGCCGGGTGACAGGCGTGAACGGCCCTGCCCCGCCACTGGTTTGAGATAGGGTCTCACAACTTCTTTTTGCCTAGGCTGGCTTCCACGGTGACACCTGCCACCCAGATCTGTGCCTCCCAGGGAGCCGGTGACAGGCTTGAGCACGGTCCCCTTCCCCAGCGCACCCCAGCTCTCCAAAGTGTTTTCCTTCCAGACCGGAAGCCTTGATTAGACATGGACTCATTTAGCGCACGTGCGGGGTCTGTGCACACAGAGGCCAGGGACTCAGCCCGTGAGGAATGCCGGCGGCTGAACCAGCCCCGGAGAGCCCCGGGGGCTTCGCCTGCTGCTCTGACCCCTAGAGACAGATGTCTGATAGTCCAGACTGCCGCACCCGCACAGGAGAGGGGCGTGGCGTGGTAGGAGTGGCACAAAGGGCCACCGTGCCAGCCCTGCCCGCCAGCAGGCCTTGGAATGAGCCTGGGGGAAGTGGGCTATGACCCCTGCCCAGCCAGAGACCCACGGGGTGCCCGCCCTGTGTACCTCGCGTGCCCCAGCTGGCATCCAGGTCTGCTCCACAAGGGGCCAGGTTGGCGTTCTGGAAGAGAGAGAGAGCGCGCGAAGGCAAGTTGCAGGGCGCAGGCAGCAGGGGGCGGCAGGGCCCCGGCACCTTTGTGTCCATACAGCCCCCAGAGCCGTCCCAGACATGTCCCTGGGAGCCGTCCCTGACACGGCCCCCGGGAACCGTCCCCGGGCGCTGCAGCCGTCCAGGCCGCCTTCAGCAGCCCCCGAACCCTGCCTGTCTGGTGCTGGGGCCCCTGGCCCGAGGTGAGCATGGACCATGGCAGGTGGCTCAGCACCGCCGCCTGTCATCCTAGCTACTCAGGAGGCTGAGATCTGAGGATCGTGGTTCAAAGCCAGCCTGGGCAATTAACCAGTTAAAAACAAAGCCAGAAGTAGAACTGTGGCTAAAGTCGTAGAGAGCAAAAGCTAGCCATGAACACAAGAGCTCAGGGACAGTGCCCAGGCCCTGAGTTCAAGCCCCAGGACCAGCAAAAAAGAAAAAGCCCCTGGTATCGGGAAGTGGCCGTGACTCACAAGGCGTCTCAGCATCCGTCCATCTGCCAACACTGCCGTCTTAAGGTATCACCACCTTGCTCACTCACCTCAACCCCTCCCCACGACCTGTCCATCAGACAGACCCTGGGCCCTAACAGCAAGCAACCAACCGGCCTGGCCAGACCGACGCAAAGGGACACTGCCGCCCCCTAGTGCCCGGGGATGGGCATGGCAGGCTGTCAGGAGGCCCGGGCCACCCCTTCGGTCCATCACCTCCATCCACCGTGGACACACATTAGAACCAGCCTTTCAGACGGGTGAGATGGGACTTCAGGGTGGGTAGGGGGGTGGACAGGAGAGCAGAGCAAGCAGGGCACCAGCCCCAGGCCCGCCGGCCCCCAGGTTCGAACGGAGCTGCAGGCGGATTTCAAGATGCTCTTCCTTCTTCCTTGTGGCACTCATTACACCCCCACCGCCCTGTGGATCCGTCCTCTAGTCTGCTGTAACCTCCGGTCAGCCTCGAGAGCCACAGCAACACAGAGGAGGGAGAAACGTAGGCCTGTCCTGAATCCTAAGCCCTGGAATCACCAAGAAGGATGAGATGGTGGCCACGGACCACCTTCTGTTTGTACCAAGGCCCACGCTGGAGTGAGCCTCCTCACGCCACAGTGGCTGGGGGAAGCAGATATTTTTTTAGTGTCCTGGGATTTGAACTCAGGGTCTTGTACTTGCTCAGCTCGCTTGCTCGGTGGGGGCTCTACCAATTGAGCTAAGTCTGCTGTTTGTTTTTTGTTTTTGTTTTAGAGATGGGATCTCATAGACTTACTGCCGAGGTCCTCCCGAGTAGCTAGGGTTATGTGTGTGAGCTTTGAGGTTTCCGTAATGATTCAAAGGAAACACATTGCACAGCGCACGGGAAGATCTCACGAGTGCGTATGCTGTCATTGATCCTCATGATAACTTTAAGAGATAAGGATCATTTTTTTCCCCTTAATTCTAGGAAACAGAGACTCAGAAATGTAAACAACTTGCCCACAGTTATTGCTGGGAGTTGAACTTGGGGCCAGGATTCTAATTCACAGGTTGCTTCTAATTCACAAGCTCATTCTGGCAATACAGCTGGGAATGTCAGCCTTCTTTAACTTACTGAGATTTTGTTTGCGATCATGTACAAAAGCGTTTTGGCAAATGTTTTATGAACCTGTGAAAACTGGATTAGAAAGATATATTTTTCCCATCTATCTATGAGATGAAGCTTGTGACTTATACTGTTTGTTACTCTGTGTACTTTTAAATGATTCTTTTTCCTTTATTGGACCCATGTCTTATTGCAAAAGAGCCAATTCAAATCATCTGCATTGCTGTATTTTTTCCACAGTGACTGGCATTTTCCTGTTGTTGGGTGCATTTAAGTTGATGAATGCCATAACTGTCTTGTGACACTGGGTCTTTATCGTGATTGCTGTATTCCCTTCAACTGTTACTTTCTTGGAACTTCAATTTCCTTCCACTTGAATCGGCATACACATGGCTTCTACCTTCCTTCTCCTTGTGATTTTTAGCATCGTTGTTATTTTTCTACTTCCAATGGTTTGAAAGCCATTTTCAGCACACATCTTGTAGTGACAGGCTCTGTCTGCACTATCTTTTCTAACCTGACGATGATCTTGGCCTTTTAACACTGGAATATAGTTGCAGGTAGCAACAGAGTTTTTCAAAGTGGACCTCCCAGGGAGCTGCTCCAAGGATCTGTGGGCGGCCAGAGACCATTCTTGTAATAGCAGACCAGGGGCGCACGTCAGGATCGCCGCTGCCTCCTGCGGCAGGCGGCGGCTGCCCTGTGCGGGGCGGGCGGTGAATGCACGTGTCCTGTGGCCTGCCCGGCCAGCACACGGCCATGGTGGCGCTATCACGATCTCTGGGACATGGGGGCTCTGGATTACAGGGACTTGGAACAAACTCCTCTTGGAACAAGAGCATGGGCTTTCCCTCTCCCCACTCGGCCAGCGGATGAGGAGATGCACACAGCTGGGCGAGGTTATGGAAGAAAGCCTTCTCCTGCAGCAGCGGGACTGGGTCTGACTGACTGCATCTGTGCTTTTAATTAGGCTCCAGAATCTCTTCGAGGAGAAGGAGGAGAAGGAGAAGGAAGAAGGAGGAGAAGGAGAAGGAAGAAGGAGGAGAAGGAGAAGAAGAGAAGAGGAGGAAGAGGAGGAGGAGAAGGAAAAGAAGAGGAGGAGAGGAGAAGAGGAGGAGGAGGAAGAGGAGGAGGAAGGGGAGGAAACCATCAAGAAGCCACCTAATAAATGGATCTGGCCATGGGGGATAAGGTCAGGAAAAGGTCATTGGCCTGGGGGAGAAGGTCAGGAGAAGGTCATCAGCCTGGGGGAGGTCAGGAGAAGGTCATCGGCCTGGGGGAGAAGGTCAGGAGGTCATCGGCCTAGGGGAGAAGGTCAGGAGAAGGTCATCGGCCTAGGGGAGAAGGTCAGGAGGTTATTGGCCTAGGGGAGAAGGTCAGGAGAAGGTCATTGGCCTGGGGGAGGTCAGGAGGTCATCAGCCTTGAGGGAGAAGGTCAGGAGAAGGTCATCGGCCTAGGGGAGGTCAGGAGAAGGTCATCAGCCTGGGGGAGAAGGTCAGGAGAAGGTCATCAGCCTGGGGGAGAAGGTCAGGAGGTCATCAGCTTAGGGGAGGTCAGGAGAAGGTCATTGGCCGAGGGGAGAAGGTCAGGAGAAGGTCATTGGCCTGGGGGAGGTCAGGAGAAGGTCATTGGCTTGAGGGAGAAGGTCAGGAGAAGGTCATCGGCCTGGGGGAGAAAGTCAGGAGAAGGTTATTGGCCTAGGGGAGAAGGTCAGGAGGTCATCAGCTTAGGGGAGGTCAGGAGAAGGTCATTGGCCTGGGGAGAAGGTCAGGAGAAGGTCATTGGCCTGGGGGAGGTCAGGAGAAGGTCAATGGCGTGAGGGAGAAGGTCAGGAGAAGGTCATCGGCCTGGGGGAGAAGGTCAGGAGAAGGTCATCGGCCTGGGGGAGAAGGTCAGGAGAAGGTCATCGGCCTGGGGGAGGTCAGGAGAAGGTCAATGGCGTGAGGGAGAAGGTCAGGAGAAGGTCATCGGCCTGGGGGAGAAGGTCAGGAGAAGGTCATCGGCCTGGGGGAGAAGGTCAGGAGAAGGTCATCGGCCTGGGGGAGAAGGTCCCTCGCTCAGGCTCTGGGCTCAGCTGAACCGTAAGATACGGGCCACACTGCCGAGCAGAGGCAGGAGAGAACATGAAGTTCTCAGAGAAAAGGAACAAGGAATCAATTTGGAAGGGAGTTCTTAGAGAAGAGCAACCCTGGAACCTGCGCTGGGTGTGGCCACAGGACCCCGGCGGTGAGCCAGAGCGCCGGGCAGGGGGATGGACTCCAGCTCTGGGGCCGGAAGGGCACCCGGCTCGTTCGCGCTCTCCTCCACCCTGTGGGCTGGCAGCAGGACTGTGCCCAGGCCCGGCTCTCCTGTAAAGCCAAAGCGTGTGCCCGCAGCCGTCCCGAGGGTTGAAGAGGGTCCGCACACCAGGAGGCTGCAGACGAGGAGGCGGTGGAAGCCCCCGCCAGGGCCCTGAGCAGACTGTCCCCGGGTGCCCAGCCTTGAGCAGAGCGCTGTCCCTCATCCCCCCCCATCCCTGCCTCCCCCTGAGACCGAGCGGACCCCAGATCCTGACATGAGCTCACAGTGCACGCTGCGCACCACCAGTCTCTGGGCCAGACAGCAGCCGTTCTAGGCAAGAAGAGAACATTCTAGAAAGTGTTCCTACTGTCCCCAGGGCCTCTGACCCCAAGGGGAGGGGGCTGCAGAGTCTGGGCAGTGTCTTGTCCCCTGCGTTCCCGTGAGATAGAGGGGACCTAGGTCCTTTGGAGGGCACGGGAGCATGCTGCATGCGCGGGTCATTCCGGAATGGGAAGCGCAGGGAGGGGGGGGAGGGGCTGGGGTCCACTGGCTTCCCACCATGCCGCGATGCTGAGGTGGTGGGGTGGGAGGGGTCCTGGGCTGGGACCCCAGCAGCCAACAGCAGATCTGACCGGGCTGGGGAAGATGAGAGACGGAAGTGCCCTGCATCCTCACGCCCGGGGCTGCGCTTGTCAGGACAAAAACTGGGAAGAGGCTGCGGGGCGGCGGAGGGTGGGGGGGGGGATGGTGCCCTGGGAAGCTGGGCCTTGGAGCGGCGTGGCCGGGCTCTGGAAGTTTAGATCTGGCTGCCACAAGCGTGGGAGCGGGGCCGGAGGGGAAGGGGGGAGCGAAGCAGCCAGGAGCAGGGGCAGGGGCCTGGGCACAGGTCAGCGGGGTCACAGGGTCAGCCCAGCCCTGCACGGGCCGGCGCCCCATCACAGGACACCACAGGACGCCACTCCTAGTCACCTTGCTACGGGTGGCCGCCCAGCCTCAGATAGGGGCTGTGGCTGGCTCAGACACCCAGAAACCTTTTCTGGGCCTTACTGGACCCTGCATCCCAGGGGAGAAACCCCAGGAGCCCATCGCTGTGGTGTCTGCCTCTCCCTTCTCCCCCATCCTGGGGTCAGCCTGGCGGGGGCGGGGGGCAGAGGGGAGGAATCCGGTGGCCAGATCACATCCGGGTATGGGAGGCTCCGTGTGTGTGTGTGTGTGTGTGTGGGGCAGAGGTGGGCGGGCGCCGCTCCGCCTGGCTGTGGGGAGGGAGGCTGCGGGGAGGGGAGGGGAGGCCAGGGCAGCGGGGAGGGCCGAGTACCTACCCGGAGGTCCAGGCCATCCTTCCCGGGTCCTGGGAGAGAGTCAGGTTTGGAATAGGGGAAGCCTGCAACACACACAGCACAGCTCCGTCACGCACGCCCCTGGCCAGGCCGGGGTGTGCGGGGGTCTCCCCTGACTCCAGTGTGACCCTGGGCATGGGCTGGGAATAAGCCGGGTCCGGGAACTCCCCCTCCTCCACCCCTCAGAACCCCAAGGACGCTGCCACTGGCTGGTCGATCATGTCACCCAAGCCAGCTTCTCATCGTCCAGGTGGAGCCCGGACTGGAGGGTCCCCGGGGGCGAGCAAGGGGTCCCCATCCCGTGCCAAGAGCACCACCAGCCAACGGGGCTGTAGTCAGACGCACTCCAAGCTCCTCCTGAATCTGGGACTCTGAGCCCTTGGCCCTCCCCGCCGGCCTTGAGGCCGCTGGCCTCTTCCAAGGTGCCGGAGAGGCGGCTCACAGGAGGTGAGGGCATCTCCTGAAGGGCCGCAACAGGGCTGTCCTCCCACCCGCCCCGCGTGGCAGGTTCCCTACCCCAGGAAGTGCCCTTGTGTCCACTAGACCGGGGCCTTGCCTGGTCTGGCCCCGCCCAGGCCCCGCCCACCCAGCAGCACAGGCCAGCTGAGCTAGTGTCCTAGGAGATGCTGGGCAGCCCCCAGAGGACTCCTGTCCCTCTGTGCTCACGGGGTGCCTGGTCTGGGGGCAGGGGAGCTCACTTCTGAGCAGAGCTGCTGGACCAGGCCCCTTGTGTGTGGGGTCCACACAGAGCAGGGAGGACACAGTGGCTTGCTTCCTGTGGACACAAGGTCTGAAGAGATCTTCAGCTGGGGACCGGCTTGGGGGTCCCACCAGGTGGCCTGTGGGAAGGCTCTGGAGGGAGGTCGGAGGTGGGGGGGAGGGCAGATCTCTAACATCAAGGCCAGGGTCCAAACTTCCCTTGGCAGAGGAGGGGACGGGACCTGCAGTCGTAGGTGAGCGGTGACCCTCTGGAGGGAGGGGAGGGCAGCGGCTGGAGAGGGGAGGGTCTGCTGGGCGGATCCGCTCCCCCCAGCCTCTGCGGCCCCTCGAGGGTACACAGCTTAGCCTACTTCTCACATTGCACAGAAAGGAATGGAGGCCCAGAGATGGGCAGGCCTCGACCTGAGGCTGCCCAGCAGGGCCGAGAGGCCTCCTGACTGGCAGGCTGGAGCTGTTCCCCCGCACACACGCAGCCAGGGACACACCAGGATCCGAGGGACCCGCCGGGCTGGACGGAGAAGCCGGACGCTAGACAATGGTTCTCAAAATGGTGCTGGCCAGCGGCATCATCCTCTCCACAGAGCTTGCAGAGACTCAGACGGTCCCCCCGCCCTGCTCAGCCAGAGCGGGGGGGAGAGCACCCACGAGCCACCACCGAGTCACACAACCTCGCGGGCACCGGACCACGCACTCCATTGCAGGAACTACTGCTTTCACCCCCGCATCACTGGCGCGTGCCTGTGGGGATGTCCCCACCGCGGCGAGGCCGGCTCCCGCGCTGCAACCTCACATTTCGGAAACTGAAGAAGAGGAGGGTCTAGGGCATCACTCCCTCGCTACCCACGCCAGGTCCTTTCCTCCCGTGACTGAGAGCCCGTCAGCCACGGCCCGAGGGCTGCCCGGGACAACACCTTCACCCAGCTTTCCAGAGCCCCAGAACCTGCCCACCTCCCCCTCCCCCTGAAGGACATCTGCCCTCTTTTCTTTTTTTAAATTCATTATCCTTAAGTATTTGTACAAAGGGGTTTCCAGTCAAGATAATAACTTATAAGTCGCATCTTTTTTTCCCTTTTTCCCCAGGCGTGAGGCTTGAACTCTGGGCCTGGGTGCTACCCTTCAGCTCTTCAGCTCCAGGCGAGTGCTCTACCCCTCGAGCCACAGCGCCACTTCCAGTTTTCTGGTGGTTCATTGGAGAGAAGACTCTCACAGACTTTCCTGACTAGGCTGACTTTGAACTTCAGATCTCAGCCTCCTGAGTAGCTGGGATTACAGGTGTGAGCCACGGGGGCGCAGCTATGAGTAGCATCTTGACCCATGTCACCCCGAAGGATATTTTCATAGCCTGCAGAACACACCCAGGGGAGCGTTCCTTTCAGCCCCAGAAACAGGAAGAGCGGACCCCTCCCTCTGGTCTCCACAGTTTCTGACGAGAAATCCGCAGTCACCCAGCTTGGGGGAGCTTTCCTTTCCTGACACCTCTATTCCCACTTTCCAAGATTATTTTCATGTTTGTCTGCCACCAGCTCCCGACGTTTAATGGCGACCTGTGCTGACACAGATGTTGTGGTTGTTGCTGTCGACCCTGGTGGAGGTTCTCTGAGTCTCTTAACTTGAAGGTTTGTGTCTTTTGCAAAGGTCAGTACGTTGTTAGCTATGATTTCTTTGACTATTTTTCAAGCCCATTCTCTCTCCTCTCCTGAGAATCCGTCCCTGAGCGTCTGCTCGCCTTTTCCTCTGCTGTCCGCATGGCTCAGGCCCAGCCGCTCTCCTCTGCTGCAGACTGGCCCCTGGGCCACACGCAGACTGTTCAGTTCTCAGACTCACCCAGCAGAATTGTCCATTTTGGCTATCTTCCTGTTTCGTTTGTAGTTTCCATTTGATTCTTCTTTTCTTCTTCTTTTGTAATAGACCCTGGGGCCTGAACTCAGGGCCTGGGCACCGTCTCTGAGCCTTTTTGTGCCCAAGGCTAGCGCTCTGCCACTCGAGCCACAGCACCACATCTGGCTTTTTCTGAGTTGGTTAATTGGAGATAAGAGTCTCACAGACTTTTTGCCTTTGAACTGTGATCCTCAGATCTCAGTCTCCTGAGTAGCTAGGATTACAGGCGTGAACCTGGCTTGCATATAATTCTTTAAAAAATATTTTTTCCTTTTATAGGTTTTTGGAACCAGAACTGCTCGCTGAGCTATTTTGCGATAGCGCTCTTCAAATTCGCACGGGGTAACGCAGAGCCCCCTTCCCCTTGGTGCCGTCGGTTAACTGTCATTCCTCATCCCGATGGTTCCTCTCAGAGTTCTTGCTGTGAGGAGTCATTTTTCTATTGCACCCCAGGTACCATGGACCCTAAGTCGGAAGATGAGACCTGACTTCAGTCTTCCCTCAGGTGGCTGCGTTCTGTGGGGGTCCCAGGGCCCGCTGTGTTACGGGCAGAAGTTCCAAGGATGATTTCATTCTCAGAACACTTGGCACAGTTCTGCTCTGGTCTGTTGGGCCCACCTGGTACTGCCACATGCCAATTCCTTTGCTGCTGCGGCTGCCCATGGGCAGGAGTTCCTCTGTGCCTCCCGATGGAGGTGGACAGAGACCACCCAGAGTCCTGCGGGGCCCTGGCTTCCGTCCCAGACACCATTGGCACTCTGTACACGCCCGAGGCCTCGGCTCTCCCCACTCCACAGGAAGGGAGGCGTGGTCTCTGCTGACCCAGCTGTCCCCAGACCCGGAATGCTCCTGGGTGACCCGGTAGTACACCCACCCCACCTCCTGGGCTGCTTCACTGCTAGAGTGTGGGCAGTCGGCCTCCACGCCCCCAGGCCTGCCCGGTTCCCCACGGGTCTCGGTCACACCGGGTCCGGGCAGTGACCACAGCCGTGAGATGACAGGCGGCAAAACAGGGCTGTGTCAGGAAGTCCTTCCCACCCTGAGCCCATGGGAGTCAGAGAGGAGGAGGCTGCGACCGGCCCGCCTGCTCGCTGTCTGGCACGGAGGGCAGCCGGCGGCCCTGGGCCTGGGCAGGCAGCGGGTGTGGGTGCGGGCCTCCTGGGAAGGGACATGCAGGGGACATGGTCACAGGGCGAGGGGCTCCTCTGTGCCGTACCCTCTGCTCTCCAGCACTTTTCCCCAGGCCCCCCCCACGTCTCCCCTGCTGCTCCCACATAAGCACTGTGGTCTTGTGGGGACCCGAGTCCTCTCGCTAGCCAGCGGCGTTTGCTGTACTGACACATTCCAGCCATGATGGGCGTGGATGTGGCGTGCGCGTGCACAGATGTATGTGGTGTGTACACAGGCGTGCACGTACGCGGGTGTGCCTGCAGGGGACCTCAGAAGAGAGACGGGCCCTCAGCGGTCAGGGACGTGGGACCCGCAGACTCAACGGTCCCAGGCCGCCTCCTGCTCTGCCCGGGGGGGGGGTGTCAGGGACGTGGGACCCGCGGACTCAACGGTCCCAGGGACCCGCGGACTCAACGGTTCCAGGCCGCCTCCTGCTCTGCCCGGGGGGGGGGTGTCAGGGACGTGGGACCCGCGGACTCAACGGTCCCAGGCCGCCTCCTGCTCTGCCCTCAGCGGTCAGGGACGCGGGACCCGCGGACTCAACGGTCCCAGGCCGCCTCCTGCTCTGCCCGGGGGGGGGGGTGGCCTCATCCCGGAAGACCGTCTTCACAAGCAGGGAGCCCCCTGCGCCTGCAGAAGCCAGGCCTCCGCAGAGGAAGGATGGTTTTGAGTTTGAGGGCACCCGCGTAAAGTTAGATCGTACCCCCAAATCCAACTGTCAGGGAAGGGAACAGGAGTGTGGCTCAGGGGCAGGAGCCCCCCCAGGCCCGCAAGGGGCTCCAGGGTTCTTCCCCGAGACTGCGAGACGAAAACTCCCCAAGCAGAAAGACTTTTCTCCAGACATGTGGGCCTCCCCCTGGCTTCTCTCTCCACCTGTGCCACTGGCATGTAGTAGCTACTCAGTAAACACTGGGTGAGGGACAGATGACAGACTGACTGAAGGATGACTTCAGTGTGGGTGGGAGGAGGCCAGGAGGCCGAAGGGCCGCAGCTTCTCCAGCCGGCCTCCGCCCCTCCCAGCTCCCGAGGCGGCCGTGGGCCCTCAGCTTAGCCTCTGGGGTGGGTACTCCAGAAGTACCTGCTGAGCGTCACGCATCTCAATTCAGCCAGCACTGGCGGGCCCCGGCGGTGTTGGGTGGCGCGATCTCCCCCCAGGTGGATGTCGGGGTGCAGGCGGGCACGCTGGCTGCGTGCACACACTATCGGGGGTAAAGGCTGGCGGATGGGGGCGAGGAGGGGATGATGGATGTGCCCCTCCCGCCCAGACTGCTCACGAGGCTCATGGAGGAATTGGTGGACCTCAGCCGGGTCCACGCTGCCGATGCCCTCCCCCCGGGGAGGGATGGCTTCAGAGACCTGCCGCAGATCTCAGACGGGGCGGGCTTCCTGCTCGGAGGGCCCGGTGGGGGACATGAGGAGAAACAGAGGGGCAGGTCGCAGAGTCACGACCCCAGGTCTGTACCGGCACCGCAGGGCTGGACCTGTCCCTCAGGAGGTCAGAGGCAACCCCGGGCCCCGAGTCAGGCCTGCCTGTCCGGCCGGGGAAGGCTGGGCGCTGGGGAGGTCACCTGGACATCGTTGCCTGCTCTGTTGGATCCCAGGCGGAGGTCTGGCCGTGTTCCGACTGCCGTGCTGGAGCCTCTGCTCCACGCATGAGGACCACGGGGACACGTGCGTGCCAGGCAGGAAGGCCCACGCGACAGGGCCTCAGCCACACACTGCACTGCGCCACCCGGGGCTCTAGGGGCGTGTGGAGCTCCTCCGGAGGCGCAGGCGAGCGGGCCGGACCAGCACCCCTCCCGGCCTGTCTGCCACGCGGTTCGGGGCCCGGACTGCTCCCAGGCTCCCACGCGGCCCCGTGCGTGCATTCGGGACCCCAGGGCCGGCATCCACCCGCGAGTGGAGACGGTACAGAGCACACGACGCCTTTGTTGGTTTCAATTGTTCTTTAACACGCGACAGGCCCTGCCGGGCACACCGCGCCTCATGCACCCACAGGCACCTGGGCCTTGCAGAGGTCAGACTCGCGGCTCACCACGGGGAGGATGCGGCCTGTTTACTGAGCATCTACAGCGGCCGGCCAGGAAGGGGTCTCCTAATGACCCACGAGGCAGCCGTGCGCATGGCGCGGCCCATGGCTGCCAATGTGGTCTCAGGGAGCCTGGACTTAAACTAGGGCCTAGGTCACCGAGAAGCCAGGAGCCCTCCCACCTCCCACCCGCCCCCCGGGGCCTCTGCCTCCTCCTCCCTCCAGTCCTGTGCCAGAACCCACCCCACCCGGTATAGACCCAAGGCTGCTTCCAGGTACCCCTGTTTGTGGTGGACAGGGCTTGCAATGCACACTGGGAAAGCACGTCCCTCTCCACACCCCAGGGGTAGACGGGTGCCAGCTGTCCCCAGGATCTGCGGTGGCATCCCCAGGACTCAGCAGGGCCTGGTGGAGGGGACCACGGGGGACAGTGCCTGTCACCAGCGCCAGGTCAGGCCTCGGCCCCCGGACCATGCCCACGCCTGGGCCCTGGGGGCCATTCGTCTCCAGTGCCCAAGGGCCCCTCCGCGTCTGCTTTCCTGTATCCCGAGGCCGGTGCCAGGCCCGCGGCGGGGCAGGGGCGGGCGTGCCGGGCGCTGCTCTCTGTGGGGTCCTTACGTCTGTGGGCTTGGCGGAGGGAGGCGGCGGGGAGGCGGCCCCGTGCGCCGCGGCCCCGGCTCAGAAGAACCACTCACGTGCATAGAAGCTGTCCGCGGGCGGCCTGTGCGGAGGGTCTCGCTCCGGCCCGCTGCTGAGGGACAGGGACTGGCTGTCCAGGTCTGGAGAGTTAGTCCTGGTGTCCACGCCGCCCTTGAGCAGCGGCCAGCCGGTCTGCGGAGGGGAGGGACGTCGAGTGAATGCGGCGGCCGTAGGTAACGTGAAACACCCCGCCCCTCCTTCTAGCAGCTTCCTTACTCCCAATGCCCTGGCCTAGCCCTCTGGGAGATAAAACTTCCAGCTCTTCACACAGATCTCCCTGCGTAGGGGTGACGCTGGGGGTGTGGCTGTCCTCGCTCACGGGGAGGGGGTGCAGGCTAGAATGGAGCCACATGGAGAAGGGAGAGCAGGTGCAGCTGAGGCCTTTACCCCCACCCGGCTGCCCTGCCTCACGGAGGTGAGGGGGCCTGGGCTGGAGAGCACACACCCACGCAGCCCACACCACGCCCACAGCCTGCTGTGGTGAGCAGGTGCAGGCTGGCCTGTGCATGCCTGGCCGCACTTGTGGATGTTGGTCACACCGGTGCTCTCTGGCAGCTTCTGAGAGCTGCGTGGAGGCGTCAGAGCAGGGGGGGCCGGAAAGGCCGCAAATGTTCACCAGAAAACATCGCCACACCGCTCCCAAAGCAGCCTTCGTGCCCCGCAGCCCACGCGGCTGCTGCCCTGTCCTGTCCCCAGAGCCTCAGACCCACAGCCCACGCGGCTGCTACCCCCGTTCTGTCCCCAGAGCCTCAGACCCACAGCAGGCTCCAGAGCCAGGGGCCCTTCTTGGTCCCACCTTTGGTCCTGCAGGACCCCAAAGAACAGAGGAGGTGGAGGAAGAGGAGGTGGAAGAGGAGGTGGAGGTGGAGGTGGAGGAAGAGGAGGAGGAGGAAGAGGAGGTGGAGGTGGAGGAAGAGGAGGAGGAGGAGGAGGAGGCGGCGGCGGTGCGGGCTAGGGACCCGCTGGCCCCACAATTACCTTCCTGCTGTCCTGGTCGGAGCTCTCCTCCTCTCCGTCTAGGCGCCTCATGGCTGCGAGGGAAGATCGTGTGTGAGGCCCATGTGTCTGTGCTCTGCACACACGTGTGTGAGGACAACACGCCTGCGTTGCACACACAAGTGCCTTTTCAGGGCCGGGAACACGGCGGGCAGGCGTGCGGCTGCAGCCTGGGGGAGGCGCGTGCACACCCTGAGCGTGAATGGCTGAGCGGCACCGACGCCATCTCAATTCTGGCCTCTGCCCCGCTTCCCCAGGGAACAGCCACGGTGGGGGCCCAGCACCTGGCATCCGAAGGCCACGTTTTCTACTTTGCTCGTGGGATGCTGAGGAACGGAAGGCCTTATTCACTGGAGCCTCGCGTCCATCACGGCGCCCCGCCTCCCCCGGGAAAGGGGGCCTGGCGCCATTTCACAGACTGGCAGACTGAGGCTGGGTGGGGGGGCTGCGGAGAAGGCCAGGCGCTGGCTGCCTGTGTCGAATGCGCAGTGCTGGCTGGGATCCAAGCAGGCTGAGTCCCAGGCCCCCCTTGTCTGTCCCCCACTCACCAACACGGTGAGAAGCCCATGAGGAGCAGTAGTGACAAATGCACACATGCAAAATACCCCTCTGAGTGGCTCGGTCAGAGCACCCCGAGTTGGCTGTTTGCCGACTTGCACGCTACCTGCAGTATTTTAGGGGTGCCGTCCCCAGCGGGGCTGACATGTCTTCAACTAAGACAGGCACTGGGTGAGAGACCTGCCGTGCACATCCTCCGACGACACCCCCCCCACGCGCACGCATGCAGCCAGTGAACCGAGACCCGCACGCGCCTGCCCGGCCCGTGCCCGGAGCCAGCAGCCCGGATGACAGGCCGGCTGGCCGGCTTCTTACCTGCAGCCAGCGGCGGGCTGGAGCCGGCCCGTCTTTTGGAACGCCCTGCCTCCTGCACCACCAAGGACAAGGCTGACACCAGGCCTGAGAGCTTGGACACTGGGGACTGGGCTACAGGACCTTGACAAGACAGGGCCAAAAGCCAAGACTGAGCGCTTCGGGTCAGGACGCACAGACGCCGAGGTTCCCTGACTACGGCCGGTGCTGCCTCCTCGGGAGAGACGTAAAGATGCACATCCTTGTGCCCTCCGTTCTCAAGGCTGAGCTGTCGCAGGACCCTGGGGCCGTGGGTAGCAATCAGTGGGGCTCATTTCTGGAAAGCCAGGAGGCTGGAAAATGGTGGCCAATGCCAGAATAGCTCCGTGCGACACGGGGCTTGGCTTCAGGCAGAGCGTCAGCCATGGCTGCCAGGGGCTCGCTGCCCACAGTGGACAGGCTGACCCACACTGCGGGGACTTCACCAGGATTGGCATTCTGCCTGTCCCTCTGCTCACGCTGCTGCCCACACCGCGGGGGAGGGGAGGGGGGGAGTCAGCCAGGCTGCCGGAGCCCAGATCACCAGAGGGCAGGGGCGTCACGGGTTCTCCTGAGAATTACAGATGCTTAGGCAAGAAATTGGCACTGCGCATTCTTGGAGGGTCGCTTCCTTAACACCTCTGAGCCTCAGTTTCCTGATCTGTGAAATGGGCCCATGGCACCTCTCCCAGTTGTAGAAATCAAGTGAGATGGCAAATCCCAGCAAAGCCCGGAGTCGTGGGGCGGCCAGCTCACAGATTCGAAGAGCGAGGGATGAGTGGGGGCCTCGGCAGGGCAAATTGCTAGCTGCTAGCTGAGCTCTCAGGAAACTTTGGAAATCCCATCAGGACGATTGGAGAAAGAGTGTTTCTTGTGTGTCACGAGGCCGTCCCCCCCCCCACTTTTGTCCCAAGGGACTTTCTGGGGAAAGGATCACTTACTGCTTCCTGCCCCCTTGTCAAGGCATCCCAAGGAAAGGGCCTCTTTAATTTCCCTTTGGATGGAGGATGGGCCAGCTTTCCCTCCTTCCCCACTCTGTCTCATCATGTCTCCATATGTGAGCACACGTGATGCATATATATCTATATATGTCCATTTACCGAGACATTTACTCATTTCTATCTACTCACTTATTCTTTTAACCTTCTATCTTCTTACCGGTCTACTCATCCACCCACCATCCATCTACCCACACGCATGCTTCCCTTCCGTTGTCCCTTCCCTCTTTACCATCCCATCCGTCCATCCACCCTCTCATTCATACATCAGCTGCCCGCTCTTCCCTGCACCCATTCATCTATCCCTCCCTTCCTTCGTCCCTTTCTCCTCCTCTTAGCCATCCAGCCTTATCCATCCATCTTATCCTTTCCTCCCTTTATCCATCTCTTTTTATCCATCCATCCACACATCCCTCCCATCTACTCACCAGCTAGCCGCCTGCTCACTTGACCACCCATCCTCCATGCCTCTCTCTGCCCACTTCAGTGCAGTCCTCTGCCCAGATCCACCCACCCATCCCTGCAGTGCGCTCTCCACCTATCCTTCCCCCTGGACCATGCGTTTAGTGCTTAGCCCTGCAGCCTCTGTCTCCCTCCCTTCACCAAGTGCGCAGCAGGGACCTGTGCTGTCCTGAGCATGGGGGGGGGTGCAGAGAGCCTCAGACACAACCCCGCTCCCCCAGAGGCTCACAGTCCAGAGAATGGAGGCCCATAAGGGAACGGGAGGTTTCTAGACAGCGTAGCAAGAGCGAAGTCAGCACACAGGTGCTGCTCGTCCTGAGCGTGGAGGAGCACATGCTGGATACCTCCCCACAGGCAGGCCTGCATGTGGTCCGATAAAGACCTGCTAAGGGAGCTGAGGGACTGATTCCTGCCCTCCCCTCCCTCACAGAGACAATGCTCTCTGCCCCCCTGCCAGAGAGTTCTTATGCTCTAGAACACCAGAGCTGAATTCTTTGTTTTGGGGTTAGAGAAAGCAATGTGCAAAGCGCAAGGCCTGTGGCCATTGTGGAGGAAATTAAAAAAAAAAAAATCAAGCGTTGGAACTAGAGCGCTGATTGGCAGCCAGACCCATGAAGCGGCTGAAGTGTTGTAACTAGAGCACTGATTGGCAGCCAGACCCAGGAAGTGGCTGAAGTGTTGTAACTAGAGTGTTGATTGGCAGCCAGACCCAGGAAGCAGCTGAAGCCCAAAGAAACTGTCCTGCTTCTGGTGCCATTTCCCATTTAAACCTGCCTCCAACCCATCATCTCACCAGGGAGAGCAGGGCTCTGTGGATGAGGAAACAGACTCAGGACCCCCATCACTCGAGATTCCCTTCTGGTTCCTTCTAATTCCCGCTCCATGCCCCCAGCCATGAGGCCTAGACACACACCATCCCAGGTAGGCTCATGTGGCCACTAGGTGGGGGAGGGTATCAAAGGGCCAAGCTGCACCCCCATCACCCAGGCCACGCCTTCACCCTAACAAGCCACACCCCACATCCAGGCCACGCCCTCACTGCAACCAGGCCACGCCCCAACCAGGCCCTCTCCCTAACAAGCCACACCCCCACATCCAGGCCACGCCCCCACTGCAACCAGGCCACGTCCCATCCAGGCCCTCTCCCTAACCAAGCCACACCCCCACATCCAGGCCACGCCCTCACTGCAACCAGGCCACGCCCCAACCAGGCCCTCTCCCTAACAAGCCACACCCCCACATCCAGGCCACGCCCCCACTGCAACCAGGCCACGTCCCATCCAGGCCCTCTCCCTAACCAAGCCACACCCCCACAGCCCTCACTGCAACCAGGCCACGCCCCCATCCAGGCCCTCACCCTAACAAAGCCACACCCCCACATCCAGGCCACGCCCTCACTGCAACCAGGCCCTCACCCTAACAAAGCTACATCCCCCATCCAGGCCACACCCTCACTGCAACCAGGCCACTCCCCCATCCAGGCCCTCACCCTAACCAAGCCACACCCCCACATCCAGGCCACACCCTCACGGCCAGCAGGAAACCCTGTGAACCTGGGGCAGGGCAGTTCAGTTTATCCACAGACACCCTCAAGCCACAGGGCCTAGGTTCTCACTAAGGAGTAAGTGCCTGAGAGCATTCTGTTTCCCAGGGGCGTAGACAGAGACTCCCTGTCACCCAGCAGCTCAGGTGGGGTCCATCGGACAATTCCCCCCGCAGCAGCATCATGGAAGCCGTCCAAACTGGACCCCAGCCCAGCCCCACCTGCCTGGGCTCAGCTTCAGGTCATCTCACACACACACACACACACACACACACACACACACAGCGCCTCCCAGCGAGCATGCACAGAAGCTCACACCGCAGCAGCGCCCAGGACCTGCGCACAGCACAGGGCACATGCAGAAGCAAGCGGGCAGCGCGGCATGCGGGTTCAATGGAGCAGCGGCGCCGACTGTACCGTGCTGCTTGTAGATTGGGGGCCTCCTATAGATGTTATCTTTTACGCCAGTGTCTGCAGAGAAGAAGGAGAAGAAGGTGAGGCACAGGAGGGGTCTTCCTTCACCCACGCGTCGCTGGCCCCCGAGGGTCAGCCAGTTCCACAGTCAGCAGAGAGACGTGGGCAGCGGGAGGCAACTGACGTAGAAGCCCCATGCCCGTCAGGCACCCCACGCCTGCAGGGCAGGGAGAAGAGGAGGCCGGGGAAGGAGACCAGGGAGAGCCCCGGGGTCACTGGGGTGCGGCAGCTCGGATGGTGCCCCTGCCGCCCAGCTCCCCCCGTTTTAGGGGGCTTCTGGAGAACCTCAAACACACATCATCATTGGATGAGTTTAAGCAGCTCAGCGTGTGGGGCGCGACGCAGAGGCTGGCGGGTCACGTGGCGGGGTGGCAGGTGCGGGAGCCCGGCCTACCTGGGACGTGGAAGTGGCGAGGAGCCTGCTGGTAGGTGGAGGGCGGCCTGCTGTCGGAGAGCACCGAGAGGCTGGGCGTGCTGCGGCCACTTTCGCTGCCTCCAGTGGGGAGGGCAGACGGCACACGCGGGGAGGGAAGAGCAGGACAAAGTTCAGGCCAAGAGGCTGGTCCGCAGCGCCCCGTGGCCCCAGCCCCTCCCGCGGCGGGGCCCGTGAACCCAGGCCACCTCTCCAACTATGCAACCCTGCAAGGGAGCCGGCGCCGTGGCCCAGAGCAGGAGCGAGGTCTGGACAAAGCGTGCCAGGGCCTGCTGGGTGGGGCCCGCTGCCCGGGGGGGCCGGCCAAGCCGGTGTCCTGGGGTGCGTGCCCAGCTCCTGTGCCAGGTATAGTGCATATTCACACTGGGTCTGCCTTTCCCCTGTCCTGTGTCTGTACGAGGCCCACGTACCCACTGCCTTTGTGTGTGAAGGTACAGTGTTGAGAATCCAAACAATAACCCTGAGAATAGGCCTGGAGGCTAGACTGGGTTGAAGGCACCTCTTCAAAGTCTTGGAGCAGCCCACGAGAAAGCTGTCAGTCACCCGCCACTGACGTGGGAAATGCCCTCCGACCCTAGCCCCATCTCCCCCCTGGAGCTGTGCCTTCCGCTCTGGGAGGGAGGCTGGATTATCAGGTCCCTGGTTAGCCGTGGCGGGCGCTGGGTGGCTGACCCTGCCCTCCACCTATTCAAGAATACGGGATGGACGGAATGTGTCAGACACCAGGCGCTCGATGAGGAATGCGGCCGATGGCAAGACACCCCAAGGTGACCTCGCCTTTCCCGCCAGCCCCAGCCCTGCCGGGCATCACAGGAGGGCTGCAGGGGAGGGTGCCCTGGCCTGGAGAGCCTGCTACCTGGCCGCGGGCCGCCTCTCACGATGGGACCGGCCCGGCTCAGAGTGGACTGGTGATGGACGGCACCCCGGGCAGGCACCGCCCATGCGGGGAGCTGCTGCAGTTGAAGCGCACCCAGGCAGAGGTGCCGGCAGACCCCAGCCAGCACCCACGCCGAGCCGAGGCTGCCCATGCCACTCTGACTTTGAGCACCTTTTCCTGCTGACGCGCCTGGTCATGCAGGCGGAACTTGGAGGAACACAGCCCGTGAAGCCCTGAAGCTTCCAGCTTTACGCCGGCGCCCCCTGGTAGCAGTGGGAGGCCTCACCCAGGGAGACCCAGCCTCATCGGGGGAGGAACGGAGTCCTTTCTGCCCATCATGGCCAGGGAAGGCCGGTCCCCAAGGGGAGCAAAGCACAACAGAAGCGGGGGCCTTAAAAACACATCTGCACAGACTCCGCAAGGGGCCGAAGGGGCTCATGGCGGGCCGCTAGGGGGCAGGGCTGGCCCGCTGCAGAATGGCTGACCGCAGGACGCAGCAGCCTGTCCCTTCTACCCAGAACTAGGGTCCTCATTGCAGCCCCACCAGGTGGCCTAGGATAGTGACACTCCTGCGCCCCTACAGAGAGCAGTGTCCCCCAAGATGACAAGCAGCATTTCCACACAGACAGGACCATCTCAGGAGGGCCCACGGCACACCGGCCCCCGGCCCCTCTGCCACCTGGTCCCCCGCCTCTCCTGCCCGCCCGCCAGACCCTTCTCCGAGCTGCCCGCTGGCCCCCGCCCTCCTGGAAGCGGCCCAGCTGAAAGCTTCTGCCATCCACGGCAGAGGCCCCAGCGGCCTCCAGCCCGGGAGGAGGCCGCGCCCGAGCCTGGAGGGGCTTTCTCTGACTTTTTTTTTCACTTCCTAACTTTATCCACTGCATTCATTTCCCCACCGACTCCACATGTACCTAAAGACCAGCTCGTGCTCTGTGCTTGCTCCCTACACAAATCATCTCTGTGCTGGTCAGTCTTCCTATAGATTTCAAGGTTTGACACATTTCCTGGGGAAGCGCCAACGGCCTTGCTCTTCCTGAAGCACCCACGAACCGTGCGCGGTCACGTTCTCCCTCCACAGCTCCTCCATCCCCGAGTTCCAACGCATCACCGTGCGCACGCGCAGCGGCCGACTGCTAGCTGGATGACTCTGGTGAGGTCTGACTCCTGTCTGGGGTGATTGCTGCTGGGCCGTCATGGCCCGGACGCTGTGGGAGGAGCATGGCGGCTCGGTGGGCTCGGTGGGCTCACAGCTTTCTGCCTGCGGCTCGGTGGGCTTTCTGCCTGCGGTTGCTTGAGCACATCCACAGCGGTAGTGGGGAAGACGCCTTGACCGGCGCTCGGCTCCACGTCCTCCCTCCCTCCTCGTCCTGACCACCGCAGAAGCAGCGTGATCCTCTCACCTTTCCATTAAAGTTAAACCTGCACTGGCGTCGTCATAGTCCAGCATCTGCATGGACGTCAACCTTTCGGGCTGAGCCTTTTCAGCCGGAGGAAGTAGCCCTGGTTCAGATGGATCTGCTTTTAACTGTCAACCCCCCCTCTCCCCCCCCCGCCCCGCAGGGAAGCCTCCCCACCCCATGTCTGAGCTTTAAAGTCAAATTCGGCTCTGGCTGGTCTCATCCCTTTATTACCACAACATCCAGGAATCAATTCTTCTGTTGCTTCCAAGTCATCCTCAGCTGCCAAGTGCCCTGGTGATTTTGAATCTTTTGTAGACACTGAGCTGGGGGTCTCTTGAGCCCCCCCCCGGGCTCTGAAGAGGGTGTACCACCTTCCAAGACACTTGTATCAGTCTGTCCCTCAAGCTAGCGAGGTCCCCGGAGGATGGACATATCCAGGGGCTCTGGGGAGAGCTCGTCACTCACCCCTTCCTGTTCTCCGCGCTGCAGGCGCACCGTGGTGGGGCTGGCCATTGTAGGCCGGGGATGGCTCGAGGTTGGTGGAAAGGCTTAGGAATAATCAGTTCCAGTGTGAAAAGAAGAATCTCCACTTCAGCGAGGCCCGGGAGCCGTGGGCTTGTCTGCGAGAGGCCCGCGGTGGCGGGTGAGGAGGGCTGGGCGTGCCCGTGGCTCAGCGCTGGCCGAGGCCTCTGCCCGCCTGGCTGGCTTTCACCTTGCAGGAGTTTCCGAGGACTCGCAGGACGGCCGCGGGCTCTCCCTGGGGGAGGAGGAGGCTGGGAGAGTCACCACGCCTTTCCCATGGCAGTTTCCCCGGGATCCGTGTCTTTGTCTTGCCCGTGGCTGCTGGATGCCACGCCATGCGCGGCAGCCTTAGAAGTATCACTGCGATGCAGAGCTCACGGACCACCATCACGCCCGGCGCTCACGCCGTGTCCGGGCCAGCCGTGGCTGAAGGAGGTGGGAGGGACACTGGGCCGGAGCTCCAGGCAGAGAGAGGCTGTCACAGATTGCTCCGTGGATGTCTCACTCCCGGGAGAACTTTCCCTGCAGGACCCGAGGTTCCACCAGGCAGACGAGGAGAGATGGTTCGGTCCTGGGAGCCACGGTTGTCTGTGACCATGAGATGCTCCAGGCAAGGAGGGGCCCTGAGTCCCTCCAACAGCTGGCCCTTTAAAAGCACTTCCTCTGAGTGTGGAGCACAGGTGCCGCTCGCGGGGGGGGGTGGGGGTGGGAGGGGTCCCCTCTGGCTTGGTGACGCCACCAGCGCCTCCCAGGTGCAGGTACCATCACCAGCTTCCGACCCAGTGGCACCCAGGGCCCTCTGCTGAGTTCTCATCGGACTCCAGCTCAGCACAGCTCTGCCATCGTGCCCACGGACCGGACAGTCCCTGCCAGAGGGGGCTGAAGGCTCCCCAGCCCCCGCTGGTGCCCCCTCAGCCAAGGAGCCTGGCTCCCGGAAGCCACGGGGTCCCTGGGGACAGCCGGCCTGGCTACTGCCCTTACAGGGCGCCATCCGTCCGCAGGACCTGTGGGGCCGGTGGACGTGCGCATGCCCAGGCCGCCACCCCGTCCTTCCCCCGCTGGCCCCGTGGGAGGGGCCCTCGGGCCACACTGGGCCACATCTGCTCCCTAAGCCCAGCCTCTCCATGTGGCATCGGAGCTCCACGTGGGGTGCGTCTCGGTTACTGGCCCAACCCTTTACGTGCACCAGAGTGGACTCGAAACCATCAGCGCCACATAGCGGGACACCCACGCGGCCTCCAGAACCGGTGGCCTTTTCCTCGGTGGGCCTCCGCTGCCTCCTGCTGGCCCAGCGGGCAGCGCGGGCCCCTTGAGGACCATCTCCGGACACAGGCACGTGAGCAGTGACCACAGCCCCCACGCGCCCAAGGGCCGAGGGCTAATGTCCCATTTTAGAGCCAAGGGAGGTGGCACGCGCGGCTGGGGGGTATCCCCGTCACGCCTGGAGTGGGGAAGGCAGGCCTCAACTGGAGGCTCCAACATCGAAGGCCCTCTGCCTCCTGCCCTGCGGTCCATGTCCTGTGGACGGCGGCTGCAGGGTCAGGGACTTCTGTCCGGGGCTCTGTTCCCTGTGGGAAGCCCGGTGACATAGGGCGGAGCGGCGGCTCCCCGCGGGGACCGCCTGACTCCCGAGCGCACACGGTTCTCTTGGGGATTGGGAGCGACTTCCGCAGACCCCCACAGGCACCGGGCGGGCAGACACTGGTGCGGGATGGCAGGACTCACCCTGGGCTGGGCTCAGCTGCAACTGCCCCACCGTTACTCCCTCTGGGACCAGACTTCCAGAACCTTCCCAAGGCACAGCTGCAACACTGGGGACTGGAGGGGGCCTCAGTGCTGCGCTCTGGTGCCCGTGTCTGCACTCAACATGGCGTCGGCTTCCCCCCACGGCAGAGGTGCACACGGGGCCTGGCGGAGCGCCGCGTGTCCAGAGGCCTCCACCCTGTCCTCATGCGGCCTCTCTGTACTGTGCCGGAGCGAAAACACCCAAGCTGCTGCCACCTCCTCTTCCTCCTCCTCCTCTTCTTCCTCCTCCTCCTCTTCATGCCAATCCTGGAGCTTGAACTCAGGGCCTGGCCTCTGTCCCTGAGCCTCTATGGGCTCAAGGCTAGCGCTCTACCACTTGAGCCACAGCGCCACTTCCAGCCTTTTCTGTGAGTGTGGTACTGAGGAATGGAATCCAGGACTTCATGCGTGCTAGGCGAAAACTCTGCCCCTAAGCCGCCTTCCCAGCTCCTGTCACTGAGCTTTTGTTCTCAAGGCTGGTGCTCTGCCACCTGAGCCACGGCACCACTTTTGCCTTTTGTTCACCAATGAAAAGTCACTGCCCAGATTGGCGGTGAACAATGACCTCAGGACTCCGTCTCCTAAGTGTTAGGCCTGCCATGAAAAACGGCTCTTTCCCCTTTCTTCTTCCTGGGTACACGTGTGGCCCCTTCCCTGGAGCCCCCACCTGGCCTCCCAAACCCAGGTAACTGGCACACCCTTTCTCTGAGGTCACGTCTGGGACCACCCCACACCTCCTTCGGTGTCTGCATCCCCCCTCCCTTCCTTAACCCCAATCCTGCCAGAGTCACCCCTTCCCCTCCCCTCCCCTCCATCTCATGATCTCCCCCCAAAAAAACAACCCACTCTTTTCAGTAAACTCTTTGCTGCCTCAATCACATGGTGGTTTCTTTTTGGTTAAATCTTACACTGAGTAGTAGGATTACAGGCATGAGCACCAGCACCCGCTCCAGGGCCTCTTCCTTACAAGCCTGTCAGCCTTGGTGGCCAGATCCCCCCCCCCGCCCCCCGTGACCTCATTGAACCTTGACCATCTCCCTACAGGCTCCCAGGTGGTCATGGGGGACCGAGGCTTCACGATGAGAGGCTGGGATGGGAGACACAACCAGCACAGAGACAGGAGGGCGGGGTCACGAACACGTGTCCACAAGGAACCAGGGACAGGGGCAGTGGCGGCCCCCGTCCTGGGCTGGCTCAGGGCTGGCGCCACGCGGGCTGTGAGTCCTGGCCTGCCACCGCGGGTCGAAGGCTCTGGCGTCACAGTCCGCTCTGCGCCCGGCCCTCAAACCGGCTTCTACCGGGGATGCGTGGCCCTGCCCAGGCCAGGCCCCACGGCCCTGTCCTTCCTGGAACACAGACACACGGACAAGACGCAGCCACCGCACGAGACACACACAGCGCGGCACAGGTGGGAGACGGCCTGAAGCCATGCGGGAACACAGACGGCGCCCAGCACCGCGCCTTACCTCGGAAGTAAGGGATGTAATGATGTCTGAACGCGGAGGTAGGGCTCGGGTGCTGGGACAGGGACAGGCAGCTACTGGTACCAACGCTGCCAGTACCAGCTGCGGGCGACAGAGGGCAGTCAGTGACCCGGGCTCCTGACCCCAATGCCGCCAAACATTCCTCGTGTCCCCGGGCTAGGGACATCTGTGCGTCCTCTCCGGGACGGCACTCCCCTCTGGGCACCCAAGGCCGGGCACCGCGGGGCGAGCCCAGCTCCGCTCCAGGGCCGGCACAAGGGGTGCAGGGCCCAGCCTGTCCCGTTGGGGGCACCGTGGGGTCAAGGGCAGTGGGCGGCCAGCTGCCACTACCATCAGCACAGGTCTCGCTGATGGGTCACGGGCCAAGCCGGTGACTGACAGGTCACCATTACGCCTACCCACGGAGGCCCCAGCCTGCCTGCCATCAGCCACTCACCACCTGCTCCGCCGCTCCTTCACGCAGGACGCCCCTCCCCCTCCCCCCTTCTTCCCTCACGCACGCCTCACTCACGCCTGCGCACACTCACGCCTGCGCACACCCACTTTCCTCCTCAGCCACAGGGCAAGCGGTCAAGGAACATGACTTTGCAAGTGAAATGTTTTGATTTTTCCACAAAGTGTGCGAGGGTGAGAGCCGCGGCCCGCGGGGTGTGAACAGGGGGTCAGGTGTGAACAGGGGTCATGCACGGCCGGCCAGGGAGGAAGCAGTTTGGAAAAATCCCTCGGAGGGCAGTGTGCATTGTTGCTGTGGCTTTGACACCCTCAGGGGGCTGAGGGCTTCAAAGTGGAGAAAGCAATGCACAGCAGAGCTGGGTGCAGGGGGATGAGGAGACACAGGGGCAGAGAGGACCCTGCAGGGGCCCTTGCCTGGGCCTGGGCCTGGGCGTGCTCACCAGCTTTCCCGTGAGGACGGCCATCTCCTGGGTGATTGCGGGACCGGCTAACTGACCTGTGAGCAGACCGCTGCCGCCCCCTGCTGGCAGGGCTGGGCCTTGCACAGACACACAGCCTGGGGCTGGTTCCGTTCTGCCCCGCCGCCTCCCATCTCCTGACACCTGAGTTTGCTCCACCTCGATGCACACTATGGTTCCTTAACCCACAGGGAGCCCGCTGCCTCTCGCCCTGACACAGGGCCAACTTTTCCTGTCCGTCACTGGAGTGACCCGGCTCCCCGTCACACACCCGTCCCCCGTCTTTCTAGGCCCCGTGATGAAGTCCTTCGACGTCAGCAGGAACGAGGTGTAGTGTCACCGGGGGTTACCCGGGCTGGGGACTGAGTACCTGGACGGCTGTAGTGTTGGGGTGACCGTGAGGTTGGGGTGTAGCGCCCGAGGCTGACAGAGCCGGCGGAGCTGGGGCTGGAGGTCCGGCACTGCTTGTAGGACCGGTCATCCTGGTCCCCCTGTGGGGGAAAACACGGCTGTGAGCGCGTGAGTGAGGAGCCCTCCCGACGCCCCGGGTTCCACGATCGAGGCCTACGACCCCACCATGGAGCCAGGCCTCCGTCAGGTGCCCCGGGAGGACCAGGCGGGGCCGGCCACAGTGCCGATGCACCCTGGCCTGAGCGTGGTCCTGTGCTCGTCACATGACCCCGCGGTGGGACCCCGGTTCCTCCTGCCCGACTCTCTGCACCCAAGGCTACAGGGAACAGCTCCAGAACCACTGAGATGTCCCTCAGTGTCCCTGGGGCCCCCACACATGTGAGCTGGCATCTCCACATGCTCGGGCACCCTCGGAGGGACACAGGCACCCCGGGGCTCCCCCCAAAGCCCAGCCGATGAGAGCCAGAAGCACCCACAACGCAGCCCCCACCCGAGCAGGAGAGGGGCTGCTGGGGACAGCCAGAGCAGGCCACGGAGGCATGAGATGGCAGGGCACCGCGGCGCGGGGAGCAGGCTCTCTGCGGGGTGGCCAGGGCCTGCCCAGCCTCCTGCTGAGGGCCGGCAGCCCAGCTCTGCCCTTGCTGGCACTGCTGGGATGAGCAGGGTGGGCCTGGCCCGGTGTCGTGGCGGCCCTGGTCTGTCTGGGCTGACCTCTGACCCTCAGGACTGTCCGCACCACAGCCTTCTCTGTGTGCTTATTTTGGGGCTCTAGCTGCACTTCTCCAAGCACCCTGGGGGCCCCACCCAGCTTGGAGGCTTTCTCCTGGACCACCGAGAGCCCCTGGGGGGGGCGTTCTCTGCAGGGCCTGCCGGTCAGCACAGGCCTCCGTGTCCCATCTCCTGGCCCTGCCACTTGCAGACTGAGCGTGTCCACGTGGGTCTCAGGGTGTGACGCCCAGGGACGGCTGGTGGCAATGCCGGGCAGGGCCTTCCCACACAGCAGCAACAGCAGGATGCCTGGGTCCGCCCGAGCGCCCCGCGGCGGTGGAGGAAGCAGGTGAGGGCTCTGACTGAGAAGCCACAGGATGGGGGAGGCCCTGGCGGTTCTCCAGGAAGCATGGGGCTGCGCTGAGAAGAGCCCTCACCGTGAGCGCGGCTCTCCAGAGGCTGCGTCCCCCACCCGAGCCCCAGCACCATGCCTACAGGGCTCCTAGGCAGAAGTGCTGAAGAGCCCCGGCCCCCTGGGCCATCAGCCACCCCCCCCCAGGGGTAGGAGCACCCGCCCTGCCAGGGTCGGGCGTTCTGGAGGGAGGGGCCGGGAGCCCCGGGGTGGGAACAGCGCTGAACCAACAGTGTGTGTGTGTGGGGGGGATCCTGAGTCCTCTGTCTCTTTCTATAGCTGGGACCCTGGGAACGCGCTTTGCCTGCCCCGGCCTCATCCTCCACTGACACACTGGAGATTACAGAAGCTACCTCTGGCGTAACTGTGGGGTAAATGAACCCCTAAATATAGGGTGTTTGTGGCAGTTTGAGCTCTGGGTGGGCACGCAGGTGTGTGCCGGAGCCACTCTGTTACCCCTGGATGACGGGGGTAGGGTGCCTTAGAGCGTGAGGTCATGGGGTGTGGTGCTGTGGGCTATGACATCACTGGGGTGATGCAAGGGGTTGTGACGGGAATGACATCACGGGGAGTGGCATGTGGTGTGACATCCATGGCACTATTGGATGTGATGTAGTGGGGCATCGTGGGATATGCTGTCATGGGGCATGACATCACTGGGTGATGAGATGGGGTGTGACATCATGGGGTGTGGTGGGGCGTGGCCTCATGTGCATGACGCGGTGGGATATGACATCACGTGTATGGTGGCCTTCACCGAGTCTGCCTGATTGCCTGATGTAGATAGAGCTGGTCAGGAACAAAGATCTCTAACTCTGAGGAGCAAGGAAAGGCCCTAGGTTGCGAGGAAGAAAGGTTTTTGACTGAGTCTCTTTCGGGGAGCTCCTCTGAGGCCTGGGTGTAGCCCACAGTCTTCTGAGGGCGCGAGGCAAACCTCAGCCAACCCAGGGAGGCCAGGACCCGGGCCCCAGTGTTTGGTGACCCCTATCTGGGCATCCGCAGAGGGGCAGGCAGACACACAGGAGCATGCAGGTGACGGGTATAAACACAGCCAGCGCTGGGCACACGCCCTCCTCACGGCCAAGGCCGGGAGCCCTTCCCTCCCAGGCTGGCTGTCTTTATAGCACGCGGGTGCAGACGGACAGCAGGACCGGAGATCATGGGCCGCAGGCACCGGTAGGGTTACCTCAGTCGGCGTTGGCGAGAGCCACTGAGGTGACTGTGAACACAACACACAGGGCCGTCAGCACCATGGGGGTGTGTGTGCACACACACACACACACAACACACAACACACAGGGCCGTCAGCACCATGGGGGGGTGTGTGCACACACACACACACAACACAACACACAACACACAGGGCCGTCAGCACCATGGGGGGCGTGCACACACACACACAACACAACACACAACACACAGGGCTGTCAGCACCATGGGGGGGCGTGCACACACACAACACACAACACACAACACACAACACACAGGGCCGTCAGCACCATGGGGGGGTGTGCACACACACACACACACAACACACAACACACAGGGCTGTCAGCACCATGGAGGGGCGTGCACACACACACAACACATAACACACAGGGCCGTCAGCACCATGGGGGGCGTGCACACACACACACAACACATAACACACAGGGCAGTCAGCACCATGGGGGGGCGTGCACACACACACACAACACACAACACACAGGGCCGTCAGCACCATGGGGGGGTGTGCGCGCACACACACACACACACACACACAACACACAGGGCTGTCAGCACCATGGGGGGTGGCGCGTGCACACACACACACACACAACACAACATACAACACACAGGGCCGTCAGCACCATGGGGGGGGCGTGCACACACACACACACAACACACAACACAACATACAACACACAGGGCCGTCAGCACCATGGGGGGGCGTGCACACACACACACACAACACAACACAACACACAGGGCTGTCAGCACCATGGGGGGGCATGCACACACACACAGACACACACACAACACACAGGGCTGTCAGCACCATGGGGGGCGTGCACACACACAGACACACACACACAACACAACACACAGGGCTGTCAGCACCATGGGGGGGGCGTGTGCACACACACACACAGACACACACACAACACACAGGGCTGTCAGCACCATGGGGGGCACGCACACACACACACACAACACATAACACACAGGGCCGTCAGCACCATGGGGGGGTGTGCACACACACACACACACAACACACAGGGCAGTCAGCACCATGGGGGGGCGTGCACACACACACACACAACACACACACAGGGCCGTCAGCACTATGGGGGGCGTGCACACACACACACACAACACATAACACACAGGGCCGTCAGCACCATGGGGGGGCGTGCACACACACAAACACACACACAACACAGGGCTGTCAGCACCATGGTTGGCGTGCACACACACACACACAGACACACACACAACACACAGGGCCGTCAGCACCATGGGGGGCGTGCACACACACACACACACAACACACACAGGGCCGTCAGCACCATGGGGGGGCGTGTGCACACACACACAGACACACAACACATAACACACAGGGCTGTCAGCACCATGGGGGGGCGTGCACACATACACACACAGACACACACACAACACACAGGGCTGTCAGCACCATGGGGGGGCGTGCACACACACAGACACACACACACAACATAACACACAGGGCCGTCAGCACCATGGGGGGCACGCACACACACACACACAACACACAGGGCCGTCAGCACCATGGGGGGGCGCGCACACACACACACACAACACACAGGGCTGTCAGCACCATGGAGGGGCGTGCACACACACACACACAACACACACACACACAGGGCCGTCAGCACCATGGGGGGGCATGCACACACACACAGACACACACACAACACACAGGGCTGTCAGCACCATGGGGGGCGTGCACACACACAGACACACACACACAACACAACACACAGGGCTGTCAGCACCATGGGGGGGGCGTGTGCACACACACACACAGACACACACACAACACACAGGGCTGTCAGCACCATGGGGGGCGTGCACACACACACACACACACAACACACAGGGCAGTCAGCACCATGGAGGGGCGTGCACACACACACACACAACACACACACACACAGGGCCGTCAGCACCATGGGGGGGCATGCAAACACACACACACAACACAACACACAACACACAGGGCTGTCAGCACCATGGGGGGGCGTGCACACACACAAACACACACACAACACAGGGCTGTCAGCACCATGGTTGGCGTGCACACACACACACAACACACAACACACAAGGCCGTCAGCACCATGGGGGGGGCGCGTGCACACACACACACACACACAACACACACAGGGCCGTCAGCACCATGGGGGGCGTGCGCACACACACACACACACAACACATAACACACAGGGCTGTCAGCACCATGGGGGGTGCACACACACACAACACAACACACAGGGCCATCAGCACCATGGGGGGGCGTGCACACACACACACAACACAACACAACACACAGGGCCGTCAGCACCATGGGGGGCGCGTGCATACACACACACACACAGACACACACACAACACACAGGGCTGTCAGCACCATGGGGGGCGTGCACACACACACACACAACACACAGGGCCGTCAGCACCATGGGGGGCGTGCACACACACACACAACACACACACACAACATACACACACAACACACAGGGCCGTCAGCACCATGGGGTGTGCACACACACACACACACCACACACACACACAGGGCTGTCAGCACCATGGGGGGGCATGCATACACACACACACAACACAACACAACACAACACACAGGGCCGTCAGCACCATGGGGGGGGCGTGCACGCGCACACACACACACACACACACACACAGGACTGTCAGCACCATGCAGGGGGCGCGCGCACACACACACACACAACACACACACAACACACAGGGCCGTCAGCACCATGGGGGGGGCTCACACCACACACACACGCACGCACATACACACAGAGTGCGCGCACACACACACACAGAGGGCGGTCAGCACCATGGTGGGGGGTGCGCAAACACACACACACACACACACACACACACACACACACACACACGGAGGTCAGTCAGCAGGATGCCCGGAGCAGGGCAGGGCGGGTCAGTGTCAAGGAGGGGAGGTGGTGCCCAGGCTCACACGCGTGGCCTGGCCTCCGAGCCGGAAGGCGGCCCGTGTGAGACACAACAGGCTACCTTCTTGGTGGAGGAGCGCACCAAGCACCCGGGGGAGGTGTTGAGGGAGTCCTTGGCACCGGGGCCCTGCTCCGGCTTGCACCAGGCTCCCCTCTGTGCCACCACTCTCTGTGGAAAGCTAGTTTTTCCAGAAGGAAGGCTGGTGGGGGTTTGAGGCCCAGCCCTTTGGTTTTCTCTGGGAGGCTGGGCGGGGGACCGGGGAAGGTGCAGCTCACTGTGACCCCAGGCCCGGAGGGGCAGCCGCGGACCCCACCGAGCAAGGGTGCTGGGGCAGTGGGCACCGCAGCCACTGGAGACCACGGCCACTTTAGGGGAGCCCTGGCTCAAGTGGGAGGTGGAAGGGGTAGAGGCGAGGGGCTGGCCACACTCCCAGGAAAGAGCGCCTGTGAATGCATCTCCAGTGCGTGTGGGCAGGGGTGTGGAGGGGGAGGGGCTGGGCAGGGGTGAGGCTGAGGGGCTCTCGAAGGCCCGAGCCCCTCCTTAGGACGGAGGGGGAGAACCTGCCCACCTTCTGGTTGCACAGAGCTGAGACAGGCAACACGGGTCTTGTGCCCACCCACGGCCTCTCCTCGGCGGGCTCCCTCCTTGGTAATGAGTCTGGAAGGCAGTGGTCCTGCAGCCTGGCTCCAAGGCCGTCCCCACCCAGAAGGCCCCACAGCGATCACCACCGCTGGGCACAGCAAGGCCAGCAGAGGGGGAAGGAGAATGACCGTGGGGGCTCTGGATGGGGCCGGAAGGGACCCCCGGGGAGCCAGGGAGCAGAAGCAGGGCACCTGGGCCGTGTCAGCCCTAGCAGCACCCCTCCGTCCTGCCTTTCCTGCCCTACCGGGGGACGTGAGCCCCCAAGGCGCCCGGCGTGGCTGGGAGTGAACACCGGCTTGACAGGCAGAGGCAGGAGCTCCAGTCAGGCCCGGCCTGTGGCCTGTCAGGTGGGGCGTGCGGGTGCTGAGGGGCGCCTGGGGGCCGCGTGGGACCCCGTGCCCACCTGCACGCCGTGCTCTGTGTTATTTGCGAGCTTGGTGCCCAGCCAGTGGCCTGGGCTCATGTACAGTGTCCCGGGCTTTGTCCCCCCAAGGCCCTGGCTGAAGCCACAGACTGAGCAGGGCAAGAGGAACAGGCTTGGGGGGGGGCTGGGTTTTCCTGCCCAGGTGCCCCAATGCCCAGCCACACACAGGCCAACGGGCAGCAGGCGTGACGAGGGCTCTCACCAGCAGCCACGGTCACACGGGCATCTCACAACCACAACAAGGAAAGCAAACACCAACAGCCACAAAAGGAGAACTTGAGAACAGTGAGGAACGTGGTCCATAGAAACACCGGGAAGTTGTGATCTGAGGGACAACCGGGCCCGGAGCTCACGGAAGTGGAGCGGGCTCGGCCTGGAAGGGTGGCGTGTGGCCAAATGCCCTCCATGGGGAAAACCACAGTCAGCACTGTGCACACGCTACCTTCCGCTCCGAGTGAGCAGACCTGCGCTCACTCCTGGGAGTTATTCCCATCCACAGGCCAGGAGCCCGGGAGCCCTCATCTGCCCCAGGGCTCTCCCCTGGGTTCTGGCGTCCAGCCCCAGGGAAAGCCGTACCTCGCCGCAGCTCTGCCTGTCCCCCGCAGCATGGCTGACGTAGGGGGAGTAGGAGATCATGTCGGGGCGGTCGATGTCGTAGATGGCCTTGTTTTTGGGAAGAGCTGCCAGGTCCCTGTAGTCAAGGATCTCATCGCCAAGCTTTGCCTGAGAGAGGAGAGAGCAGAGAGTGGACTGTGCGGTCCCTGGCCAGGGGCCAGCACTGGGCTGAGGACCGCTGGGGCTGGGGGGCTCCAGGCAGTGTCTGAGTGTGCCCAGCCCACCCGGGGGACGAGGCTGGGACTCAGATCTGCAGCCGGCCTCCAAGGGAGGCTTTGAACATTGCACGAGTTTCCTTCTCTATGAATTATGAGGAGATAGTGGCTTCTCAGTCAGAGGCCAGGGTCAGAGGTCACACCTGTAATTTGTCAGTTCAGAGCCTGCAGATGGTGAGACTCAATTGGTAGTATAAACACACACACACACACACACACACACACACACACACACACACACACACAGGTGCGTGCATACATGGATACACCCCAGCACACACATGCATACTTACACATGCTCCCCCACACATTAGCACACTTGCTTGTATACCAGGACTCATAGAAAACTTACACATGCACACACACTTGCACACTCAGAACTTTTTTTTTTTTCTTTTAGGTCCGGTGGTGGGGCCTGAACTCTGGGCCTGGACGCTGTCCCTCAGCTCTTCAGCTCAAGGCTAGCGCTCTACCACTTGAGCCACAAGGCCACTTTCGGCTTTTTTCTTTTTGCTTATGTGGTGCTAAGGAATCGAACCCAGGGCCTCAGGCATGCAAGGCAAGCGCTCTACCACGGAGCCACCTTCCCAACCCCTCACTCAGAACTTTTGAACACATAAAACGCAACAGCAAGATTCCTGGCATTTGAGAACCAGGGCATGACTTCAGGGTTTGTGGACCCACATCTGGCCCACACTGGTCCACGCTAGCCTGCCCTGGCCCACACACCCACTGAATGAGCAAGGGATCGGGTGCATCTTTGCATTTCTCATGTGCTGGACTGAGTCTGATTTCTCAGGTGACACCCGCCCGGCTCCCGGCTCCCGGCTCTGCCGTCAACCCCCAGCCTCCTCCTCCTGCATTACCCCATGGCTACAGATCTGTGTTGTGGGCACACGCACGCACACGCACGCACACACGTATATACAGACACACACAGAGTCTTTGATGCGTACGGGATCACAGGGGCTGCAGCATCCCCCATGGGAGATGCCCTCCCTCTCCCCCTCGCCCTTCTCCCCCCACCCTGCACCCACACAGCGCTGAGCTGGGCTTCTCTGGCTGGTCCGCCCCGCTGTGGCTGACAGCCCTGCACTGGACTCTCATGGGTGGCTGGATGGCTGGGAGGGGAAGCCCAGGTCAGGCAGGCATCCATCTTCCCCGGGTTTGAATCCCCTTTGCTGTCCGCCCATTCCTCTGGCCGTCCTCGGTGGCCCTAGCTCAGTGTCCCCCCCCCCCGCGGTGGTCCCCTCCCCCTGTGCCCACTCACGTAGATCACGCGGCTCGGGGACCCCGAGGTGCTGGAGGCAGGCGCGGAGATGACGCTCTCCGAGGAAGTCCTGGTCTCCTGGAACGGAGGGTGGAGACTGAGCCAGAGTCTCAGCATTAGAAACCTTCCAGAAGCAACCACCACGCTCCAGCAGAAATGCCAGCTAGAGTGTTTCTACTCATTTATTCTCAGGATAGACACACAGGCTTGGAGGAAGGGCAGGAAGCTACACCCAGACAGCACGGCGGGCAACACAGTGATGGGCAAAGGGCAGTGCCAGGGCCAGATGGCAGCACCGGGATGGCATGTCTCTAGGAAAGAGGCACCTGGCCCCCACTGGCTGGACAGACAGGACGCCCTGCCTCTTCTAGCTGGACGGACGGACACCCTGCCTCTTCTAGCTGGATGGACATGCACCCTGCCTCTTCTAGCTGGACAGACAGGGCACCCTGCCTCTTCTAGCTGGATGGACATGCACTCTGCCTCTTCTAGCTGGACAGACAGGGCACCCTGCCTCTTCTAGCTGGATGGACATGCACCCTGCCTCTTCTATCTGGACGGAAGGGCACCCTGCCTCTTCTATCTGGACGGAAGGGCACCCTGCCTCTTCTATCTGGACGGACGGGCACCCTGCCTCTTCTAGCTGGACGGACAGACATCCTGCCTCTTCTATCTGGACGGACAGGCACCCTGCCTCTTCTGGCTGGACGGAAGGGCACCCTGCCTCTTCTATCTGGACGGAAGGGCACCCTGCCTCTTCTGGCTGGACGGACGGACACCCTGCCTCTTCTGGCTGGACCGACGGACACCCTGCCTCTTCTAGCTGCCCCTGTCCTACTGCAGAGGCTCAAGCGCAGCTCACCTCCAGACCTCAACCTGAGGTCCCCACACTGCCCACAGCCAGGAATGGCTGCTCCAGTCCCCACACGCCTGGACTCAGCCCTCTGGCACTGGACACCTCCACAGTCCTGCTCCAGCCTGGTTCTGGCCTCTGTGCTGCAGCCTGGGGCCGGCCTAGGCCCCTCCTCAAATGCCCTTACTGTCTGCCCCACAGCGGTTCCCGACCCTCTCCCCCGCACAGGCACATACGCTCCTCCTGAGCTCCTCCATGGCTATATCCGCTGTCCCTCCTCCCCAGGGGACAGGGCAGGCCTTTATCCCGGCCCAGCCGCACCCAGGGCCACGCACCTGCCTGGTTTCCTTGCTTCCGGCTATATAAGGACACTCCACTGGGGCAGCCGCGAACGCGGACCCCTTCAGTGGCCCATGTCCTCCACTGTGCCTCACGCCCCTCCCCCTCCCTCACCAGCCCTCTTCCACTCCCCCCCGCCCCGGCGATTCCCTCCAGCTTGGGGTCCCTGACCTGCAGCCATGCCAGGTCTAAGTGGCTGAGTTGGGACCCCTTTATTCCTAGGTTGGGGCCCCAGGACCTCCGGTGTGACTGCGGAGGCAGGGCCTGCGGGAGGCCTCCTCCAGTGCCCGTGTCTTCGTAAGGGGAGGCCAGGACGCAGACGCACACAGGACACGGGGGAGGCTGGGGGGACCCAGCCTGGTGGCCCTGGGTCTCATCCTGCAGCCTATGAGAGTCCAGCTCTGCCGTCCACGGCCGCAGCCTGTGGGCCGGTGTCCCGCAGCCAGGAGCTGAGCGGGGCTGTGTCTGGAGCCTCCGCCCAGCAGGACTCTAGCAGGGGCGGGTGGACACGAGGACCAGACATAGCCACACTGGCAGGGGAGGCACAAACCTGTAGGGCCCAGGGCGTGGCCCCTGGGCAGGCCTGACTGGAGATTGGGGTCTGCATCTAGAAGGGAGAGAGGAGGAACGGGTCTTCACTCGCATGCTCCACACGGCCACTCCTCCGACCCCGTCAGCTCAGGGGCTCGGGCCTGGCTGCTCTGAGCAGCGGTGACCGCAGGGGACCCTTCTCTGAGTCAGCTCCCAGCTTTGTAGGGTGCGGGGGTGCAGGGCCCACTCCGTGGTCAGTGAGGGAAGGGGGTGGAGTTGGGGTGAGGATACTGGAGCCGCTCTGACTTCCTGACCTGTAGCTTCCAAGGGGAACCCAGCACCCGGCTGCTCCCCAAGGACCAGGCTCAGCCCGGACCCCACCCTGACAGCGCAGCCCCGCCAGAAGCAGCGGCCCCCTCAGTGCGGGTGCCTGGCTCTCAGAAAGGCCGCACGGGAGCAGCACCGACTCTGGTGCCCGGTCATCCTCAGGTAAGGTGGAGGGCTGAGGCGACTCGCTCCAGGTCGCACAGCTGCCGGGAGGAGGCAGGGCTGGACCCCAATGCCCAGGCCGGCTCTACCTGCTCGGCTGGGCCGGGAGCTCTGACAGTATTCTCACGCAGACTAAGCCCCGCGCACATCCCTGGGGTCAGAGTTCCTGGGTGGTCTGAGGCCTGTCGCCCCTGTCCAGGGCCCCCACCCCACCCCCCACGTCCTTGGGGCCAGGTGGAAATCCCCCAGGACTGCCCTTGCCCCCAGCCTCCTGCAGCACCTCCCTTCCCATGGCCTCATCCTGTCCCAGCTTCGAGCCCAGGCCTGGGTCCCCGAATCTCCTTCCTGGAGGCCTTCCATGTGCTTCTGCCTTAACTCCTTCAGCGGCCCCCGGCATGGGGTCAGGCCCCAGCCTCTTCTCAGTGTCCAGGGCAGGGCCCCGGCGAAGGGCGTAGAATGGATCATAGTCCAATTCAGCCATGGGAGATGAGGCAAAATTCACAATGTAGCCGGGCACCAGTGGCTCACGCCTGTCATCCTAGCTACTCAGGAGACTGAGATCTGAGTTCAAAGCCAGCCGGGCAGGAAAGTCCGTGAGAGTCTGATCTCCAGTGAACCACCAGAAAACCAGAAGTGGCGCTGTGGCTCAAGCGGTAGAGCGCTCGCCTTGAGCTGAAGAACTGAGGGACAGCGCCCAGGCCCAGAATTCAAGCCCCACAACCAACAAAAAGAAATTCACAATGCCTGGCTGCCTTCTGGCCTCCTGGCTGTGGAAAACACAAGTGGAAAACCTAATAAGACAACAGCGCTGAGATTCCGAGAGGCAGAAGGAGGCTGTCCACAGCGCTGCCCTTCGGTCTCACCGCCTGCTGCGGGGCTGCCGAGGGGGAGCTCACAGCCCGGAGGCCCCTCACCGAGGCCTGCCTGTCTTATGGTCCCTCTGGTCGGCTGATCTCTTCTTCTCTTTCTGCCTCTCCTCCTGTTTCTCTCCTCTTACTCTTCCTGCTCCTTCCCCTCCTCTTCCTCATCTTCTTTCTCCTCCTCATCTTTCTCTCATTTCTCCTTTCATCCTTCTCTTCTTCCTGTTCTTCTTTCTCTATAGCTGTCCTGGGGACCCCCCCCCCGCCCTTCCCCTTCCTCTGAGCCTCTGTCCAGTTAAGAAGCAGCCACCTTGTTGGCCAGTGCTGCAGCGCTCCAGAGACCTGTCCAACCTGCCGTCCAACTGTGGTGGCCTCACACCAGCAGTGGGGGCTGAGGGAGGGTGGTCCCAGGGACCTCCAATGTCACTGCTGTCCCTAGTGCTGACCGCTGTCCCCAGTGCTGACCACTGTCCCCAGCATTGACTGCTGCCCCCCAGCACTGACAGCTGTCCCCCCACTGACAGCTGTCCCCCCACTGACCGCTGCCCCCAGCACTGACCATTGCCCCAGTACTGACCACTGTCCCCAGCACTGACTGCTGCCCCCCAGCACTGACCATTGCCCCAGCACTGACCGCGGCCCCCACACTGACAGCTGTCTATACCCGCTGAGTGGATGAGGCTGAGGAGCCTGTGCGCGAGCCCCCTGGGTACTTTGTGTGAGACCCACATCATTGCTCCCCCACCCCGCCGGCTCACACCCCTCCGCTCTCCCCTGCCTGGCGTCTCTGCCACGGGCGGCGGCAGCCGGCAGCCCCTCTGCGTGCCGTGAGAGCCGCGGGGCGGGCACGGTGAAGGGCAGGAGCACCCACCTTGCTTTTGTCTTCAGTCCTGGCGGCCTGCCGGCAGGCCGGGTGCCAGATGGAGGAACCTGTGGACACATCCAGGAGGAAGGGCTTAGAGCTGTGTTCCCACCCTTTGGGCCTGTGTACAAAGCCAGAGGAAGGAGCTGCGGGCCCGTGTGGACGCCGCGCCCTTCCTGGGGCAGACAGAGGGGGCTGCCTGGAGCGCCTGCCAGGGCGGATGGAGGGATCTTCAGAGGGCTTCGGGCTCATGGTGGCTATGAAGAGAGGCCGTGGGGCAGGCATCAGCTGCTGTGTGGAGGGCAGCCATGGCCCAACTATGGGGACACTGGGGCAAAAGCCAGGGTGGCCCCGCCTCAGGAGGAGGGCTGTGGTGCCCGGCCTCTCGGCTGGGCAGTGGTCTATCCCACCGCGTGTGAAGCGGAAGCGGGCGTGAGGCTGCAGCACTGGGCCGACCCTGTCCCCAACCTGCTCAGCACTGGAGGCTTCCTGTGCCTCGCCTTCCTCCCCCATCAGCTCTGCCCCACCATCACAGCCACCATCCACAGCAGCACCACCAGGCTCCGAGTGCCCCATGTCCTGGGTGTCTGCGGTTTCCTAACTCAGCCCCCACCCACCCCAAGTCCCCAGATCTCTCCCCAACACCAAGGCCTGAAGGCATTCTGTGAGCGCTGCGTGCACATGATGTAGGTACGATGTTCCTACTTTCTGTGTGTGCAGGGCGGGGTTGTGGCAGGTCGGCCCCAGCACCTACACCCCTACCCCTATAGCCCCTGACCCTCCCCTCCACCACAGAGCAGGGCACCTGGGAGCGGCCTCTCCTCACTGCCTGCTCAGGGATGGTGGCCAGATGTGTGTGTGTGTATGCATGTCTGTGCACACATGTGCACACATGCGTGTGCCTTGTGTGCATACCTGTGCCTGTGTGTGCATGTGTGTCTGTGTGTGCATACCTGTGCCTGTGTGTGCATGTGTGTGTGTCTATGTGTGCATACATGTGCCTGTGTGTGCATGCATGTGTGTGCATACCTGTGCCTGTGTGTGCATGTGTGTGTCTGTGTGTGCATACCTGTGCCTGTGTGTGCATGTGTGTGTCTGTGTGTGCATACCTGTGTCTGTGTGTGCATGTGTGTGTGCATGTGTGTGCATACCTGTGCCTGTGTGTGCATGCATGTGTGTGTGCATGTGTGTGTCTGTGAGTGTATACCTGTGTCTGTGTGTGCATGCGTGTGTCTGTGAGTGTATACCTGTGCCTTGTGTGCATGCATGTGTGTGTGCAAACCTGTGCCTGTGTTTGCATGTGTGTCTGTGTGTGCATACCTGTGTCTGTGTGTGCATACCTGTGCCTGTGTGTGCATGCATATGTGTGTCTGTGTGTGCATACCTGTGCCTGTGTGTGCATGCATGTGTGTGTGCATACCTGTGCCTGTGTGTGCATGTGTGTGTGTCTGTGAGTGCATGCCTGTGCCTGTGTGTGCACATGTGTGTGTCTGTGTGTGCATACCTGTGCCTGTGTGTGCATGTGTGTGTGCATACCTGTGCCTGTGTGTGCATGTGTGTGTGTCTGTGAGTGCATACCTGTGTCTGTGTGTGCACGTGTGTGTGTCTGTGTGTGCATACCTGTGCCTGTGTGTGCCTGTGTGTGTGCATACCTGTGCCTGTGTGTGCCTGTGTGTGGGCATCATGGTTATAGTTTCTAAATTTTTTATGATTATAAAGATAATAGATCTGTTCCTTAACTAGAAGTTATAGTGGCCTAAAAAAAAAAGTACAAATAAGAAAGCTGCCGCTGCTAGGCGCTGGTGGCTCACGCCTGTCATCCTAGCTACTCAGGAGGCTGAGATCTGAGGATTGTGGTTCAAAGCCAGCCCGGGCAGGAAAGCCCATGAGACTCTTCTCTCCAATGAACCACCAGAAAACCAAAAGTGGTGTTGTGTGCCTTGAGCTGAAGAGCGCAGGGACAGAACCCAGGCCCAGAGTTCAAGCCCCACGACCGACAAAAGAAAAAAGAAAAAGAAAAGTAAGCTGTGGCCATCTGCCACCTGTCACAGGACGGTGCACAGGTGACATCACCCTGCAGCTTCGGGTGACAAGAGTCTCGAGTCCCCCTTAGTGTGACATCACAGGATATCACTCGGAGGTCTGCAGCCCATCGTGTGGCGGACCGCCCCCCTCCAGGTCCAGGTTTATTTCCAAGCCGTCCCACAGAATCCCCTGCGGTGGACACATGGCCTCCAGACCCCAATCTGAGGATACCTCCGGGGCCCGTGGGGTGTGGGCAGCCCCCAATGTCTGCCCTCACCTGTCAACAAGAGGCCTGTTCCTGTGACTCTCCCTGGACCTCCTCCGCTCCCGTCACCCCAAGAGGAAGGGGGCATCTGGTCATGTTCTAAACCGGGACCCCTGAGGGGAGCTGGCCTCCCTGGGTCCATCAGCAGAGGCTCTGGGGGAAAGGTTGATGGAGCCCACGGGAGACATGCCATGGGGGGGACCCTGACCCCCTGCCGGCCAGGGCTCTGATGGCAGTGGGGGTGCCTGCAAAGACGTCCTCACGGGGCTGGGCACCCAGGGAGCGCAGGCGCGGGCCTCAGGGCGGTACAGCAGGGCGGGCCCACAGAGGCCCCGGCTCCAGGGCTCCCGGCGCAGCTCAGGCCCCAGCAATCAGGCCCCACCTCAACGTACGGCGTGGAAACCCCGGGTCTGAGAGGGGCAGGCCTGGCTCTGCACCAGGCAGCCCTGCACGGCCCCGCGTGAGACGGGGGCTGGGGATGAAGAACATCTTTGTCTCCAGGACAAGGTCGCCCCTGATGCCGGCCGACGTCTCCCAGCTCCCGTGCTCCCTGCCGTGGTGCCTGGTGTTGACTGGCCTCATTCACAGGGGCCGGCGGCGCGGTGGGCCAGGCCCATGGATCCCCTCCCCAAGCCTCTGCGGACAGCAGGCGGCGGCGGGGGAATGAGGCCATCCTCTGAGATCACCCTCCAGGCGGATGACCCACCCCGGGACACCCTGCCTGCGGACGCCACGCCGCAGGCCTCACTGCGGGGAGCTCCCCCTCCACAGCCCAGCCCGCCAGCCACCTGCAGACTCCAGGAGACTAAATCGCTCAAAGGAAGCAGCAGCTGACCAGGGGCAGTGTCAACGTGACCCCCTCCTGGCCTGGCCCTGGCCCACAGCCCACCCATCGCTGGTCCTGAGCTGTTGCTCAGAGTCACCTGCTCAGAGAGCAGGCTGAGCCCCACCCTCAGCCGCCTCCACCAGCGCAGCTCTTCCTGCCAGCCCGCCCCCCACTCCCACAGCTCCCCCCCTCAGGGGACAGGAAACTCCGCACCTCCTCTGTCCCTCCTCCCCTGGCCAGTCCAGGCAAGGTACGGGCCCACCTTGACAATAACCAACACAAACACAGGCTGGAGGCACAGCTCGAGTGGTAGAGCACCCGCCTAGCAAGCAGGAGGCCCTTGGCTCAATCCCTCGCATCACAAAAATTTAAAAAAAAGATAAAAGTTCCCATTTCCTGTGCTTTTGCTGTCTGTCAATGCATCTAGTCAACCTCCCACTGGCAGAACCTTTTAGGTCTGAGGTGGGGATGTGAACCTGGTACCTGCTGTGTCCACTCACTGGCAGGCGCTCTACCAATGAGCCACGTCTCCACCCCCTCCATCTGCATCCTTGTTACTGTTCACGATCGGGGTTCCACGAAAACCAGCTTTCATCAGAAAGCGGCTCTTCCCGCAGAGCTCCCCCTTGCTGCTGCCTGGCTGTGGTGCGCGTGCCGTGGTGGAGGCCCGGCACCCTCGTCCGTGCCACAGGACAGCGCTGAGTGAGAAACAGCTCTGAATATGAGCCCCCTGGGAGGGACGCCCCGGCCCGAGGCAGCGAGGGACACCTCACAGTCTTCCTGTGAGCTCTGCCGGCACGTCTGGGGCCTTACCATCCCGTCGGTCACCTCAGGCTGCCCGCCACTCTTGGAGAGAGACTCGGCCTTGGCCAGGTGGCCCCAGTGGTCCCTCCCCACAGCCCCCAGGCAGCGGCACCTGGCCAAGGCCACGCCCAGCACGTGGTGTGGACCGGCGGCGGCGGTGGCAGCCCTTACCTTGCAGGTACATCTCCTCGCCACCCCGCCCTCCCCACAGCCCCCAGGCAGCGGCACCTGGCCAAGGCCACGCCCAGCACGTGGCGGTGGCAGCCTTTACCTTGCAGGTACATCTCCTCGCCTTCCGCGAACATCTGGCCGCACCTGACGCATAGCGCACAGGAAGGGTGGTAGTGCTTCTCCCCGGCCTGCAAGGAAGCGGAGCAGAGGGCTCACGGCTGCACGCAGGGGCCCGGCCTGCCGGAGGCTGTCACCTGAGTGCAGGCTTGGGGACCTGGCAGAGGCCCAGCAACCCCCAGAACGGAAGGTTCTGTGGGCTGGTGGGCACCCCCAGGCCTCCCGGAACCCTGTAGAAAGGCAGGTGAGCCAGCTGCGCCGGCCCATCATCCGGTCTAGGTGTGCAGCTGGCCCATCATGTCTGTGGACTGGTCAGCACACAGGGAGGGCCTCACCCCTCCCCTGGGGGAGAAGGAGGGGCAGGCAGTGAGGAGGGGAGAGGAGGAGGAGGGAGAATCTTACAGGAGAGTCTCCCCATGTAGAGAGACCAGAGGGATGGCATTATTTTTTAAAGTGACTTTTCTTTTTGTATCTCTGTGGCCTTCGGTTAGTTCAGGGAGTATTTTCCATCTTAGAAATCCCTTTTTAATTTCTTGGTGGTTTAGGAGTTTGGACTCAGGGCCTCGTGCCTGCAAGGCTTGTGCACCTGTTACAGGATTTCTTTTTTTGGGGGGGGTCCAGTTGTGGGGGGGCCTGAACTCTGGGCCTGGGCGCTATCCCTCAGCTCTTCAGATCAAGGCTAGCGCTCTACCATTCGAGTCACAGCGCCACTTCTGGCTTTTTTCTTTTTGCTTATGTGGTGCTGAGGAATGGAACCCAGGGCCTCAGGCATGCAAGGCAAGCGCTCTACCACTGAGCCACCTCCCCAGCCCCTGTTACAGGACTTCTGTCAGCGCATGTGCCACCATGTCAGCTTCCCTTCTGTGGAGAGGGACTCTCTTGGATTTTTCTATCCAGGATATCTGGGCCTCTAGGGTCTCCCCGTCTTAGCTTCCCAGGTAGACTGGGGATGACAACTACAGGCTGAGAAGGGAGTCTCATGAACTTTTCTGCCTGAGCTGACCTCAAGTTGTGATCCTCCTGTGTTCAGCTCTCAAGTATGTAAGATGACAGGTGTGAGTCACACACCCGGCTCCCTTCGATCATTATTTTAAGGCCTGGGAATACGGCTTAGTAGGGGAGCATTGCCTAGTGAGGCCAGGCTCCGGGCTTGGTCCTCTAGTACTACAAAAAAGAACAGAAAAACCTTCAAAACCATTCAGTTAGATTGCAAATATTTATATGGAAATGACCTAAATAAACTACATGAACTGGCTTATTCCTGTGTGGCATCAAATCACTAGGGAGTAATTGAGAATGGATTCAATTACTCCCTAGTTCATACCAGCTCACTGGGAGGGGTGAGGTGGGGAGGGGGGCTGTGGCTAACGATGGAGGTGCAGGACCAGAGTTTCTCTCCTTCCTAAAATGGGCAGAAGTGTGGCACTTGCTCCCTGCATCTGAGCGATAATGGGTGTGCCCCGCCCCGGAAGCGGGGGACACCTTCACAGTCCCCTCGCCTCTCACCTCTCTCTGGCCCCTGTCAGCACGGAGGCAGAGATGCTCCATACGCAGGGGTCGAACCCACAGATCAACGGGGCCTGCTCACAACTTGGGCATAGGGGTTCCTGGGGGGTGAGTGGAGGCCTGAGCCCCGTTGGCCCGGGACCCAGACACCCGCTCCGTCACCGACTGCCCTCCTTCTCCAGCCACGCCCTGAGCAGTCTCCGCTCGTCCCAGAGCCACCTCCTCCTGGGAGTCGCCCCTGATTCCACCATAACTGGGCCTCTCTGGCTCGTCTCTAACGCCTTGACAACCATCTGGGTTTGTGAGGACAGTGAGCCTTGCCCTTGCGCCTGCCCCCAGTCCTGATGCTCCGGACAGGCAAGACGGAGAATTCAGGGAGACTCACTCCATATTAAGCAAACGGAGCCAGGCGCAAAGCAGGAGGACGGATTCACCAGGGTTGGGTGAGGACTCAATGTGGCTGGACGGGTGGCACTATTTGGGGGGGCTTGAGGGGCATCGAGGGGCTGAGGGAGTCTTCTATCCTGATCTGGTACGACTACACGGGTGTGTCCAGTTTGTGAAAACTTACCACAGTGCCTGTGTGTGATTCTCACCCTCCTGTGAGTGCTAAATACCAGAGAATTTCCCAATAAAACAGATCAAGGACCTGTGAGAAATGAAATGGTGGACCTCTTCGAAGAAGACCTAAAACTGAATGGGCACAAGTCCAGATTTGATGGATAAAAACACAACAGAAGAACACAAAGCCGGGCACCAGTGGCTCATGCCTGTAATCCTAGCTACTCGGAAGGCTGAGACCTGACGATCATACTATGAAGCCAGGCAGGGCAGGAAAGTCCCTGAGACTCTTATCTCCAATAAGCTATTCAGAAAAAGCTTGAAGTGGCCCTGTGGCTCACTCAACTGGGAGAGAGAGAGAGAGAGAGAGAGAGAGAGAGAGAGAGAGAGAGAGAAACATAAGCTGCATAAACTTCAACAACATTATACTCTAATCATCAAAGGAAACAGTACAGTGAAAATAAAACCAAAGCATAGTAGAAAACAGAAAAGAATCACATATTTGATAAGGACGTAGCATCCAGAATAAAAAGACGATCATCTCAGCCTAATTAGGAGTTGGGCAAAAGATGTGACTGGACTGTTTCCAAGAAAGATGGTGGTGCAGGAAAAGACGTCTTCATGAAATGCAAATCCACCCTCAGCAGGCCAGCTCTGACAACCACAGCAGAAAGGGAACTCAGCACCGGACAGCCCAGGGGGCAGGACCCCCGCCCACGACACCGGTGGCGCACTGGGAACACGGCCTGCCAGCTCCTCAGAATCACACACAGAATCAACTACAACCAGCAATGCAGGAGAAGCAACAAACTGTCCACACAGAAACCCACACACGAACGGCCACCGCAGTGTGACACCCTCCGATAAAAGGGGCAACAAGTAAGGGCCCACATGGACACATCACCCCACACAGTGGTGTGACCTTTAGAACGTGGGGGAGTCTCACCCCGAGACCTCAAAAGGAGAGAAAATGTCCAGAATGGGTGCATGCTCAAAGGATGCGGGTGTGGGGGGGAACGGAGGGAGCGATCAGTTGTGGGGTGATGGGTAGATTTGGAACTGCAGAGAGGAGGTGATTTGAAGACACAGAACATCAGACAGTGGGTGGCCCACAAGCCTCAGAACTCTACCCTGCATTTTGTTTTGGTAGCCCTGGGTTTTGAACTCAGGTCTTCATGCTTGTCAGGTAAGCGCTCTGCTACTGAAGCCCTACCTCTAGCCCAAATTGCGCATTTTAAGCCATTGGCCTTACGCTCTGAGAGTTCAAACCTGCGGTGTGAGGAGCAGGGCTGGCCCCCAGCCACACTCAGAAGCTGCTCCTATTCGGGCTGGGATGGACAACTGGGCTCTATGACACTCGGGGTCAGGGACTGTCCCGCAGTCTCTGCTGGGGACAGGGCAAGTTCAGAGCCAGGGAAGAGAGACAAGGTCCAACCCAGGGTCCTCACTGCTGGAGACACGGCCCTGGGAACCGCGTCTGTGCTCCCGGGAAAGGCCTAACCCACAAGCCGAATACCTGTGCCGTCACCCCAGCTCCCACGGACAGAGGGCCCCGGGCTCAGGACGGCAGGGATCAGAAAAGCACTTTGAAAGCACTTTGCAGGGCCTGGCTCAGCTCACCTTCCGAGGCGGGAGGGCTGAGTGCAGCCCTGGCCCCCAGGAGCCCCCGCGCCCTGGCCGGGACGCCCCCACCCCGGAGGGCAGAGCCGGGCCTGCAGACTGCCATCGGCAGCTCCGGTGGGCATGCACTCCCAACCTGACCATTCGCGGGTCAGGGCCGGGGACTGCTCTCTGAGCTTTCGACCTGAATTCAGATTGCGTGTAAGTCCTAATCACCACGGTGCACAGAGAAACGTGCTGAGAGGAGCCAAGACCCTGAGCAAGGGTCACGCCACCCAGCGTGTGACTCCCCATGGCTCTTCTTCCTGACACCCTGCAGGGAGCCACCCTGTACCCCAAAAAGGAGCTCCACTTCCTCATGCCCACAAAGCCCCGCCTCCATTGTCCCGTGTCCCTCCCTGGCTGACCCTCTGTGGCTCTTCTCCAGGAGCACGCTCAGCCCGCCCCACCTGTCACACCCCTCCCCCCTCTCTCCCGTCCTCAACTCCACCTAGAAACGCAGATACACAAAGCAGCCACTGTCCGCCCTTTCTCCACAACCCCAGTGGTGCCCTAGCCGGAGAGGTGGCCATTAAAGGTGCTCTAAGATGAGTAACACGGACTGTGAGTCACCCAGAGAGCTCTGGAGGTCGCATGTGTGTGTACCTGTGTAGTATGTGTGCCTGTGCATGCCTGTGTATATGCACTCATGCATGTATGCGTGCCTGTGTGTGCACTCATGTATGTATGTGTGTCTGTGTGTACCCATGCATGTATGTGTGTCTGTGTGTGCACCCATGTATGTATGTGTACCTGTGTATATGCACCCATGCATGTATGCGTGCCTTGTATGTGCACCCATGCATGTATGCGTGCCTGTGTATGTGCACTCATGCATGTATGCGTGCCTGTGTATGTGCACCCATGCATGTATGCGTGCCTGTGTGCGCACCCATGCATGTATGCGTGCCTGTGTATGTGCACCCATGCATGTATGTGTGCCTGTGTATGTGCATCCATGCATGTATGCGTGCCTGTGTATGTGCACCCATGCATGTATGCATGCCTGTGTGTGCACCCATGTATGTATGTGTGCCTGTGTATATGCACTCATGCATGTATGCGTGCCTGTGCATGTGCACCCATGCATGTATGCGTGCCTGTGTGTGCACCCATGTATGTATGTGTGCCTGTGTATATGCACTCATGCATGTATGCGTGCCTGTGTATGTGCACCCATGCATGTATGCGTGCCTGTGTATGTGCACCCATGCATGTATGCGTGCCTGTGTATGTGCACCCATGCATGTATGCGTGCCTGTGTATGTGTACCCATGTATGTATGCGTGTCTGTGTGTACCTATGTAGTATGTGTGCCTGTGCACGCCTGTGTATGTGCACCCATGCATGTATGTGTGTCTCTGTGTGTACCCATGTATGTATGCGTGTCTGTGTGTACCTGTGTAGTACGTGTGCCTGTGTGCACGCCCGTGTGTACACTCATGCATGTATGTGTGCCTGTGTGTACCCATGCATGTATGTGTGTCTCTGTGTGCACCTGTGTATGTGCACTCATGCATGTATGTGTGCCTGTGTGTGTACCCATGTATGTATATGTGTCTGTGTGTGCACCTGTGTATATGTGTGCTTGTGTGTGCAGCCTATGTGTATGTGTACCTGTGTGTGACCTACATGTGTGCAAAGTTGATGAGGATCATTTCTATGTGCTAAGTGTAAAAGCCTGATCAGTGGCCTCCGTTACGTGTGACTTTGCTTATTCTGATAAGCAAGTAGTCCTGAGTGTGCTTTAAATAAATATATTTATTTTGAGAGAGAGAGAGAGGCAGCTTGTGAAGTTGACTTCTCTGTCCTCGGGAAATGAGTGAATCTGTTTGGAAGCACGGCTATTTTCTGCCAAGGATAAAGGTGCGCGTGGTTGCGGGGGGGCGCAGTGCTCCTAGGAAGGTGGGAGGGAGTAAACAAGCCCCCTGTCCTCACAGGAGGTGAGATGCCTCCGGCAGTCCAGCGAGGGTCCTGCGGTGAGCAGGTTAAGAAGGAAAGTGAGCATGGACCAAGGAAGAAGCAAGCAAGGAAGGAATTAGGTCCCCAGGGGATGCTGGACTTCTTGTTGCCATGGAGACAGCGGGTGCCCGGCGAAGGAGGCCCTGACCTCAGCACGGCCAGGGTAAACAGCCGGCAGAGCTGGTAAAGATCTCCACCCACCCCCACGCGCGTCCACCCCCCTCTCCGGGAGGCTTTCCAGACGCTGCTGAGAGGAGAGTGGGCAGTCAGGCGCAGGGCACCTGCAGGGTGAGCCTGGCTGCCCTGGCCTTCCGCGCCGTCCCCGCTCGGCTTCCGCAGCGGCGGAGGCAGCAGAGACGCACATGTTCATCAGCAGGCTACAGCTCTCTGCGCAGCGACTCCAATCCACCCAGAGCCAGCTCTGCCGCCCGCAGCCAGCCCCCTCCCTCCCACCGTCCAGCCCAGCCCACCTGGAGCACACCCACAGAGTGGGCTCCTCACGGAGGGAGGGGGGGCTCAAGGAACAGCAGACAGCTGAGGGGTGAGCGAGAAGGGGGGGCCTTCCCGGGGGAGCCCTCCCTCCCCAAGCACGCACATGTCACAGACGGGCGTTGCTGCTGGCACCCAGTGCCCACGGTGGCACTGTGCCTGCCCCACAGGCCTGGCGCAGACGGGAGCCGGGGAACACCCCCACCCAGGCACCAGAGACATCCAGGGGCTGTCGGGGACAGAGGGAGAGCGTGGGGTCCCCACTGCCTGTGGAAAGCCCCGCAGCCTCGCCAGGCTTCCTACCTGCACCGCGCCCGGGCCGGGCCCACTCCAGTCGCCGGGCGGCGGCCCCCTCCGGCGTGTGAGCCTGAGCGCGGGCCCAGAAGGATGCCCTGGCCCTCAGCCAGAGCCCAGACTGTGTTTTTCCCCTTTCAAATCTGCCACTTGCTCCTGCTGCTCCCCCAGCCCGCGGCCCACAGCTGGAGGGCGGCTTCCTCCTGCGCAGCCAGCTCCTCCCCACCTCGCCTGGCCTCGCCTCGGGAGGAGGCTCAGCTCTGCAGCGCCCGCAGCACGACTCAGCTCAGGAGCCGCCACCGCAGCACACTTGGCTGCTGGCAGAGGCAAAAACAAACGCTGGGAGCTTCCCACCAGGCCCTTCACCCCCCACCGCACACCGCAGGGAAAACCCAGGCTGCTCAGCTCCCTGCAGCCCAAGCAGCCCCGCCAAGACCCCGGAGTGCACCCGAGGGGCTGCGCCTGACACCAGACTCCCATTCAGCGTTTGGCCAGAGACTGCAGCCATGGGGTACCCTTGCCTCTGTAACCCACCCAAGGGCTCGATGCTGGCCCCACATGGGGGCCACTCCCACATGCCCAGGGCCACTCTGGGCAGGGCCGGGATGTCAGGAATGCAGTTAGACCCCTGCGCGTGCAGCTGCCTGTGCCCCATGCCACTGTGCCCGACCCTGACATCACAATGTGGAGGTGAGGTTCGGTCAACATGCAAGCCTACAGCTCTCCCTGGCAGAGGCTGGGCTGCTGGGGTCTGCTAGGGGCCAAGGCCGGGTGTGCCTACTGCTTACACATCCATGTGCACGCACACACGTGCGTGCACACACATGCATGGGTATGGCTCATCACACACAGAGAGATCCCGTTCATCATGGAGCTTTACAGACACTTTCTCAGAGCAGCAACTTCTCATCACAGCCGTGCGTGAGAGAAGGTGCGGGGTGGGGAGATGGAGGAGGAAAGGCAGGTGGGGCCCGGCGGAGCCTTGTCAGTAAGGGGAGGCCTGTCAGAAGGCGAAGGCCGGCGGGGTGCGCGAAGGCGGGGACAGGGCTCAGGTGCAGGTCGATGTGGAGCCGGGACAGAGCAGGTTGTCTGTCCACATCCATCACCACTTAGGAAAATACAGATAGGACATGTGGCAGAGGGAATATCTCAATCTTCCCACGTGACCCCCCGCCCCAGAGAACCCAGTGCATTTGCAGACACAGTGGACGGAAGGAGGAGGAGCAGAGGAAAGCCACAGCAACCAAGAGCCTGCACTGTGGTCAGCAAGTCTGCAGCGGCCATGGTGGACAGCTGTATTCTGTAAGTCAGGAGACCCCATCCGGACAGTGGCTGTCAACAGCCAGCCCTACCCGAGGGGAGGGGAGGAACACACACACATCATGACGGTAAAGCTCTGCAGTGCCAGGGCGGCAGCTCACACCCGAAGCCCTAGCTACTCAGGAGGCCGAGGTTGTCGAGATGGAAGTTCAAGGCCAGTCTGGGCAGAAATGTTCCAGAAGGCCCTACTTGATGAAGAAGTGGACTCAGGAATACCTCCTCACCCAGCCACCAGGAAACCTAAGGCCAGTGGATTGGTCCAAGCAGGAAGCAAGACCAAAGCTCAAAAATCAGCAAGAATCAGGGCGGAGACCAAGCCCAGAAGGGAGAGCCTTGCCACAACTGTAAGGACGGCCGGGCAAACCCAGGATCACCACAAGGAAAGACTGGAAAGGCTGTGACCAGCCATAAGTGACTGTTCTAGAAAATTCCATTATGGCCAGGTGATGAAGCCCAAGGCCATGTTAAAATTGTGCTGGTGAGCTGGGCACCGAAGGCTCATACCTTCACCTCTAGCTACTCAGGAAGCTAAGATGTGAGGGTCAAGGTTCAAAGGCCACACGGGTCAGAAAGTCTGTGAGAGTCTTCTCCCCAACTAACCAGCAAAAAGCTAGAAGTGTGGCTGTGGCTCAAGTGGTAGAGTGCCAACCTTGAGTGAAAAAGCTAAGAGACAGGGCCCAGGCCCTGAGTTCAAAGCCCAGTACCCAGATAGGGGGTCAGGAGAGAAGAAAGGAAGAAAGAAAAAACAGCATTTGGAGGACTCAGTACTTAAAGAGGATCTAGCACTCAGAGGACCCAGCACTTGGATGACCCAGCACTAAGAGGACCCAGCACTCAGGGAACCCAGTACTCAGGGACTTAGTACTTGGGGGTCCTAGTACTCAGGAGGACTCAGCACTCAGGAAAGCTCAGTACTCAGGAGGACTCAGCACTTGGAAGACCCAGTACTCAGGAGGACTCAGTACTCAGGGGACCCAGAACTCAGGAGGATTCAGTACTCAGGAGGACTCAGTACTCAGGAGGACTCAGCACTCAGGAGGACCCAGTGCTCAGGAGGACCCAGTACTCAGGAGGACTCAGTGCTCAGGAGGACCCAGTACTCAGGAGGACTCAGCACTCAGGAGGACCCAGTGCTCAGGAGGACCCAGTACTCAGGAGGGCTCAGTACTCAGGGGACCCAGTGCTCAGGAGGACCCAGCACTCAGGAGGACCCAGTGCTCAGGAGGACCCAGTGCTCAGGAGGACCCAGTACTCAGGAGGACTCAGCACTCAGGGGACCCAGTGCTCAGGAGGACCCAGCACCCAGGGGACCCAGTGCTCAGGAGGACCCAGCACTCAAGAGACCCAGTACTCAGGAGGACCCAGTACTCAGGGGACCCAGAACTCAGGAGGACCCAGTACTCAGGAGGACTCAGCACTCAGGGGACCCAGTACTCAGGAGGACCCAGCACCCAGGGGACCCAGAGCTCAGGAGGACCCAGCACTCAAGAGACCCAGTACTCAGGAGGACCCAGTACTCATGAAGACTCAGCACTCAGGAGGACCCAGCGCTCAGGAAGACCCAGCACTCAGGGGACCCAGTACTCAGGAGGACCCAGTACTCATGAGGACTCAGCACTCAGGAGGACCCAGTGCTCAGAAGGACCCAGCACTCAGGGACCCAGTACTCAGGAGGAGCCAGCACTCAGGGGCCCAGCTCTCAGAGGATCCCGCCCGAGGCCTCCGGGTCCGGCCTGCCGCTTACCTCCAGTGTGCGCCCAGTGATGTACTGCTCACAGCCATCACAGCGGATGCCGAACTCGGAGTGGTAGTCAGCCTCACAATAGGGCAGCCCGTCTCTGCAAGGAGACAGGTGGTCAGGCGGGGCGGGGTCTTCCTGAGGTCATGGCGTGGGACCCCCCCAGATGCACAGGGCTTGCAGACAGGCCTGCAGTCATTGTGGGGGTGTGCAGGCTCCTCCTACTCCAAGGACCCCTCCCCCCCACTTTGCATAGGTAGAGATCACGGGGCATTACAAAAAGCACCTGTGTTCCAGAGGGAGATGCTGAGGCACACGGCTCAGAGGGTGGTGAGGGCCGGGGCGACTGGGGGCTGAGCAGGCCACAAGGAAACGCAAGCGGGGGGGGGGGTTCACAGGCACCATCTTGGGACAGGCCCAGGGTAACAGGAAGGCAAGGGGAGGGGCCAGGGCTGAGGAGGCCACATTTGGTGCCCAGGCTGGTCCTGCAGGGAGGGGGGTCAGGCGCGGGCACCTCCCAGGAGGGGTAGGCAGTGGCGTGAGCCCCTCACTCCGGGCGGGGACAGCACAGCTGGTGTCCACGGCGGCAGCTGCACACAGGCAGGCGGCGGGGGAGGGAGACGCCAAGCTCACTGAGCTCTGGTGGCCATGCTCCTGCTGGGCTCAGGTGCTGGGCCCCACTGCCCCCCCCCCCAGGGTGGCTTAACCTCCCTGAGCCTCTGTTTCCCCACCGGTCAAACAGGAGTGAGGACCACAGGAGAGGGGGTGTAGCCCCAGACGCAGGCTCCCCAGCCAGAAGGCAAAGAGGCCAAGAGAGAAGACACAGGCAGGGTCCTCAAGACCCACTTCCACAGGCGCCAACCTCAGGCCCCGTTCCCCACACAAACCCACCCACGAGGCGTGCAGATAACATCACCACGGCAACGCCAGCACGCCCTCCCCCTCAATTCTGGGATGGCTGTGGAGGCTGCTAAGTAACAGGCAGAGCCCCCAACGCCCCCGGGGCCTCGTGGGTGCCCGAGCTGTCACTCTGTGCTGGGCCTCGTCTGCCGGTCACCCCCCACCTGCTGGGCTGCGATGATGGAGGCCGGGCTGCGATGGAGGCTGGGCTGTCGGCCTCCAGTGTGGAGTGTGTCTTGGAGTGGGGATGTTTTGTTTGGAAGGCAGGTTCCTGTGTCCCTCACCTGGTCTCTCGGGTGCATCCCAAGAGCGCAAGGCCGGGTGGACATGGACAGGGGCACACACTGGGGCCCTGCTGAGATTCTATGTCTACACTTTGTGTGCACAGATGTGTGTGCACATGTGCATGTGTGTGCAAGCACACAGTGTTCGTGTGTGCATGTGCCTGTTGTGTGCTCATGTGTATGCACGTGTGCGTGCATGTATTGTGTGTACACATGTGTGTGCATGTGTGTGCTCTGTTCTTCACAGTTCTGTCCTGTTGATCTCCTTCAAGGGAGAAGGTCTCCCTCACTGAGGTCTGCCATCTTCCACCAGTTGCCGCAGGGCTGCCCCCGAGGAGGGCAGGTGTCTGCTCAAGTCGCTCTCCCAGCTTCTCCATTAGCTCACCTCACCCTCTGTGTGCAGGGCTGCCTGCCGAGGTTCCTGGGCCTAGGGTTAACACTCCCCCAGATCCCGGCATGTGCTGGCTTTCATCCAGCTCAAAGCCGCGATCACCACATGAGGCTCCTCTGTGGCCTCTGATAAAATCACGTTCTCCCTCCCAGACCTGCTGCCCGGCTCAACCACACATTCGAGGAGCACCATGACAGCTGGGGGGAGGGGTAGTCCTCTGTGAGCCGCAGCGTCCCCTCCCCGAGCCCCGGCACAGCTCGCCCTCCCCGCCATGTCCCTGTGGCTGGTATCTGAGGCGTGCTCGGCTCTCTGCGGGACTCCCAGTGCTAGAATGCTCAGACACCGGGCAGGCGGAGCTGACGGCCAGGATGGAGAACAGAGGGTCAGACACAGGCAGAGCTGAAAGCCTGGCTCCTTCGCTCCTAGCCAACATCAGGCACTAGACATGGAACCACGTAGGGCTGGGAAGGTGGCTCAGTGGTAGAGCGCTCGCCTTGTGGTGGAACCACGCCATGTGGGCCTGGTGGGAGGAAGATGCGGGCTGTGGGACAAGCCCACAGGTCCTGCCCCGTCTCCTCCCCAACAGCAGAACCGGACCAGTTGCCCAGGAGTGGAAGCCACGTGGGAGGTGGCACGTGGCACCCGCTCCTCCGTCGCCCCAGGCTGGTGCACAGTGTGAGGATCCTGGCCGTTTGGCCCCGGCTGCACTTACTTGCTGATGTACTCGGCGTTCAGGAGCTTGCCACAGGTCTTGCACTTAAAACAGCCCAAGTGCCAGTGCTTGTCCAAGGCCACCAGAGCCTGGCCGTTGGTGATCTCTAAGCCGCAGCCCCCACAGCCTGAGGAGAGAGCACAGGGCGGCCATGTCCTCTCTGAGAGCCAGGGGAGGCCCTGGGGCTGCACGCGGGCCCCAGAGGCCCCATCAAGGGCAGCTGGGAGCCTGTGCTCAGGAGGTGGGCCTGTCCTGGCTGCCGCAGGGCCCGTGACCCGGGCTGAGTGGCCGCCATGGCAAGGCTGGTCTCCTCGTGTGTGAAGTGCGCAGCCTGGCCTGGGCGTGGGCGCGCAGAGGTGAAGACCCAGGAGCCCCAGCTCAGGGGCATGAACTCGGACAAGGGGGGCGCTGGGGTGGGGCTGGTCTGAGGGGGGCGGCGGCGGGTCTCCTGAGAGCAGCTGGTCAGGGCCACCCACCTGCCCCGGGCTGAGCCTGGTTCCCGTCACTGACGAAGGGGAAACACGCAGCCCAGGGAGGTCGGCACCCCTCCTCACCCCTCACCCCCTCCCCTGCTCCTTCTCCAGCCACGGTCCAGCTTGCCCGGCACCCACTCCCTGGAGCCCACAGCTCCTCCAAGGCCCTCACGCAAGACTGTCCCTTCAAGGGGCCCAGTCAGGTCTTGGGGCTCCCTCCCTCTGCACCCCAAGTCTGGCCAGCCCCATCTTCTCTCAACATGGCTCTTCCTCCCGCTGCCCACCGCCTGCTCTGGCCTCGCCAGCCTCCCGTGACCTCCCCCCCCTCAGCCGTGCCTGAACTGCTCCCCGGGTCCTACCCACAATCCCCCACAGCGAGCTGCTGCTTCACTGCCAGTCCCTTGCTCAGGGCTGAGTGGGAGCCCTTGCAGAGGAGGGGGGAGGCGGGGCGCGAGGGGACAGAGCTCTGGCAGCAGGGCCTGCGTGGGGAGTACAGGGTGAGCACATGGTGTGTGTGACTGTGCACATGTGTGTGCGTGCATGTGTGTCAGGATGTGTAGCTAGTGCTGTGGGGCTGCATGTGGCTCCAGCCACTCCTCAGTATCCTCCTCGCTTTGGCTGCCAGGCAGCTCTAGATGAACGGTTCACACTGACTTCTTGCTGAGAGCTCGGGCCTTGGACTTCAGATGCAATTAGAAAAGCACCATTGTGGGTGACACCCGCGTTCCAAGATTTGATCCCCTCCCCTCCCCCTCCCCACAGGCCCACCCTCACTCCAACCCCTCCCTCCCTCCCTCAGTGCCTCCCTCATTCTTCCCACTTACTCCGAAGGCCCGGGGACAGGTGAGCGCCACCTGCCGTCTGGGGGGAGCACTTCTGACACATGCACTCCTTCCCATTGAAGGTCACACGGTCCCCAGGAGGAAAGGGAAGCCTGAAAGGAGAGAGCTGGTCACCCGCGGGCTGCCTCCAGCCATCACACAATACCAGGGGCAAACCGAGGGTCCCTCAGGGAGCGACCCCTCCCTCGGTGCCAGGAGCCAGGGACTGTGACAGAGAGCCAGTGATCTGCAGAACAACCAGCCAGGAGCGTTCCAGCCCTCCCCCCACCCCACGCCTGCAATACTGTACATGCCCAGAGTGTGGGTAGATGGGTGGACAATGGATGGATGATGAACGGATAGATAAAAGATGAATGGATGGATGGGTGATTAATGTATGCATTGATGATGGATAGATAATGGATGGTGGATAGATGATAGAGGATGGAGGATGAATGGAGAATAAATGATGGGTGTGATGGATGGATGGATGATAAATGTATAGAGGATAGATAAAGAGATGGATGGATAGATAATAGATGATGTGTGATGAATGGATAGATGGAGGATGGGGGACAGAGGATGGATGGATGATGGATGATGATGGGTGGATGATGGCTGGCTGGCTGATGAATAGATGAATGGATGGATGGATGTTGGATGGATGGATGGATGGATGGATGGATGATGGTGGATGGGTGATGGCTGACTGACTGACGGATAGATGGATGATGGATGATGACGGATGATGGCTGGCTGGCTGATGGATGGATGGATGGATGGATGGATGTTGGATGGATGATGGATGGATGGATGGATGGATGATGATAGATGGATGATGATGGATGGATGATGGCTGGCTGATGGATGGATGGGTGGATGTTGGATGGATGGGTAATGGATGGATGATGGATGGATCGATGGATGATGGTTGGCTGGCTGATGAATGATGATGGCTGGCTGATGGATGGCTGGCTGATGATGGATGGCTGATGATGGATGGCTGATGGATGGATGATGGTTGGCTGGCTGATGGATGGATGGATGGCTGATGATGGATGGCTGATGGATGGAAGGATGATGATGGATGGATGAGGGATGAAATGCTGCTGGCTGGCTGAACAAGGGAAGGATGGAGGCCCTGAGGATTACAGCCTTGCCTAGCTTCTCCACAGCTGCCCCCACACCCTGGCCCAGTCCTGGGGCAGGTGGAGGACGCCCCAGCTCGGCCCGCATGCTCAGAGCCGGCAATTCCCTGAGCAGAGGTGTCCTGGCTGCATCTGGCCAGACCCACTTCTTCAGGACGGAGGAACAACGCCCGCTGACTGAGCCCAGGACCCTGCCCTGCAGGGTGGGCCCGCGGCCTCTGACTGCGCTGGTGTGTGGTGGGCTCCCCTCGGTGTCCCGCAGGGCAGCATTCCGCAGCTCCACCACAGCGGGGAAGCGGGGTCCCTCAGTCACGGGATGGCTGAGCGAATTTCCTACTGTGTAACTACAACAGTCACTCAGCCTGTGTGTGCTCCTGTTTCCTACTCGCATCCAGAGGCCACACAGCCTGGAGCCCCTAGCACGCCGGCTGGAGGGTCCTGGGTGTTGAGTAACTGTCCCTGTTCAGGTCATTGCCTGGAGAGTCTTTCTTCAGACATCAGCCTCGGAAGGTTTTTCTGGGATGGTGGTAGTGGTGGTATGCTATTGTTCAGTAGGTGTTTCTTCTTATTTTACTTTCGGCACTCAGAGACTCTATCGTGCTGTTCTCTGGCATGCGGGAGTTTCTGGTAGAAGCCTGCAGTCCCGCCTTCTTCTGTCTGTCTGTCTGTCTTCTCTTTATTGTGTTTAAGATTTCTTGTTTTCATTGGGTATCAACAATTTAATGATCAATTTGGTGGGGGTTTTGAGAGCATATTCTATTCAGGGTTCATTAAGATTGTTGGACCTATGGATTTGTAGTTTTAATCCGTTTTGGAAACTTTTCATTCATTTTTCTTCCTGCAAGAATATTTTAGTCTCTCCATTGTCCAGCAGGGAGACGGAAGGCCAGACAGGAAGAGTCTCATCTTCACCCACAGTTCACTAATGCTTTTGCACGCAGTTCAGTTTCTTTCCCTCCCTCCCTCCCTCTCTCTCCCCATCCCCCCTACAGCTTGAAGGTTTCTATTGTTAATGTTCTCAAGTTGATGATCTTTTCTTCCATGGAACCTAAGTTACTGTTAATTCCTTCCGGAGGACTCTCCGTTTCAGGAACTGCACTTTTCACTTCCTAGCATTCCCATCCATATTTTCTTTCCTTTCCTTTTGTTTTCTTTTTGGTGGTACTGGGGCTTGAACTCAGGGACTTGTACGTGACTGGAAAGTGCTCTACCACTACAGCCATGCCTCCAGTCCCCACATGATCTTTCTGAGGCCCATCTTCATGTTTGATGAGTAACACATTATTGTCTCAGTTCTTGTCCTATTAGAAAGGGATGGCACATGGGCTGTCACTGCTGCATGTCCGGTGAGTGGATGGTCCATGCTGCTCAGAGATGGCATCCTGGTGCTAGGTGTGGATGGTCCACACTGCTCAGAGATGGCATTCTGGTCCTGGGTGTGGACCGTCCACAATGCTCAGAGATGGTGTCCTGGTCCTGGTATGGATTGTCCACGCTGCTCAGAGATGACGACCTGTTCCTGGGTATAGATTATCCACACTGCTCAGAGATGGCATCCTGGTGCTAGGTGTGGATGGTCCACACTGCTCAGAGATGGGGTCTGGTCCTGGGTGTGGACCGTCCACACTGCTCAGAGATGGTGTCTGGTCCTGGGTGTGGACCGTCCACACTGCTCAGAGATGGTGTCTGGTCCCACTGCTCAGAGATGGGGTCTGGTCCTGGGTGTGGACCGTCCACACTGCTCAGAGATGGTGTCTGGTCCTGGGTGTGGACCGTCCACACTGCTCAGAGATGGTGTCTGGTCCTGGGTGTGGACCGTCCACACTGCTCAGAGATGGGGTCCTGGTCCTGGGTGTGGACCATCCACACTGCTCAGAGACCCCTTTTTTTTCCCAGGGATTATGAGGCACGTGGCTGCTGCCTGGTGAGAGGCACTCCTGATTGTTATCCTGGTGGGAGGGGCTTCTGGATTAGTGAAGCCCACCTCTGGGTGTGTCTGGATCCATTTCTAGAGAGGATTAACAAGAAGGAAAACTGCCCTGGACGTGGGCAGCCCCATCCATTGACAGAGGCCCAGAGGGGACAAGGGGGAGGTAGAGGAAGCCTCTAGCACAGCCATTCTCTTTTGGCCGCTTCTCACCTTTCTGTGAAGATGCCCTACCGTGCCACAGCCCAGAAACGAGGGAGCCAGGAGAAACCTGAGACTCTGGGCCAAAACAACTCCTTCCTCTTTCTAAACTGTTTCTCAGCTTGCTATAGAGAGGAGTCTCTCACCCGCCTGCGATGTCCCTTCATGTCCTCATGGTTTTGAAACACGGCCCCAGACTCCAGGGCGCCCCTGTGGGCCTCCAAAGCCTCCCACAGCCTCTGGCTTCCAACCACCGAGTCCAGCCCAGGAGATGCCACGTTCTGCTTGGTTGTGCTGTCCTTTGAAACAGCGGGGCGCCAGGGCCAGCGCGGCCTGCTGCTTTCCTGTCCTCAGACCTGGGCCAGGACTCACACATGCGTCCCGTCTTCTGGTTGTTCATGGCGGCTGGATAAACCCAGCCCGAGTCACTTCACACAAGCAGTGATGCAAGATGGTGGTCACCAGAGGTGGCCGCTGAGACAGGATGGGTCTGTGGCAACCTCACCGCTGGTGACCCTCCGCTAGGGACCCTCCGCTGGTGACCCTCCGCTAGGGACCCTCCCGTGCAACCCCGGGAGACTCTGGCTGCACGCCATTGCTCTTTCATTGGAACCCTCCTTCCCCATGTCCCGGGACCCTGGGTACCAGCCCCGGGTACACACTGTACCCACAGACGGTCGCTTAGGAACAGCACGAAGGGTGTGGCAAGCAGGGGACAACAGGACAGGAAATAGCTGGTTTTATTTTTACTCTTTGTTGAGCCCTGGAAGAAGGGATGTGTTGGAGCTGTGAGGGGAGGGAGTGAGGAAGGAAGGGGTGGGGAGAGGCTGCCTGCTGGCGGCGTGCCCCGCCCTGGGGAGGACAGGCAGTGGGGGCCTCGGCCCGGCGCTCGGGGACATCCGGTCTGTCTGTGGTGACCGCCTGCCAGGGCCGGCAGGGACCAGCACAGAGGCAGCACCGGGGCCTGCTTCTGCCCTACTCTGGCCACAGTCGGGAGCGGGGAGGGGCGGATGGAGTGGGGCTGTGGGGAGGGAAGGAGGCTGCCCACGTGGGAGGAGCGCCGCGGGACCACCCAAGATTCCCAGCCTGCACGGCTCGGAGCCTGGCACACATCATGTTGACCAAATGAACGAGCAAATGAATGAGGAGCACTAGGGGCTCACACCTGTGATCTTAGCTACTCAGGAAGAGATCTGGAGGATCATGGTTCAAAGCCAGCCTAGACTCTATCTCCAAAATAATCAGCAAAAAGCTGGGCATGGATCAAGTGGTAGAGCATCAACCTAGTAAACAGGCCAAACCAGGGGAAAGCCCTGAATTCAAAGGAGAAGGAGGTAGAGAAGGAAGAGGAGGAGGAAGAAGAGGAGGAGGCGGAGGAGGAGGAGGAGGTGGCGGCAGAGAGCAGTTGCTTAGGGTCTGAGCCTGGCCCAGGACACAGACTTGGGGGCTGGTTGGAGGGGGGAGGAGGCTGGGCAGTGGGGGGGGCGGCGATGGCGGGGACTCACCGGCAGACGGCGCACACAAAGCAGTTGGGATGGTAGGTCTTGCCAAGTGCCGACACCACCTCGCCCTCGATGAAGCAGTCGCAGCGGAAGCAGCGGGTGCCGTAGAGCCGCTGGTAGTCCTGGGTGCAGATGTGCTCGCCCTGCCGCACGAAGAAGCCGCCCTCCGCCAGGTCACAGCCACAGGCTGGGGAGATGGAGGCCGCGCTGGCATGGAAGTGCCTGTCTGCGCCCCTCAGCTGACGCCCGAGGGCCCTCTCCATGCCAGGCCGCCGTGCCCAGCGCTGGATGGGGCGGGGGTGCAGAGGGAGGGAACCTCAACCCCGCGATGAGCCCCGAAAACCCTGAGCTGGCGGTGACGCTGGGCCCTGTGGCTTTGCCACGCCTCCCTCGTCCCTATGAAAGCTTCACCCCCGACCCTGAGCCCTGCGCGCGCCAGTGCCAGGCCGGGACAGGAGGCGGGGAGCACACGGGACCCTGACGGGGTTATTTTGCCTCCTTCCCGCCGCATCTCCAGGAAGCTGGAGCTGAGGAGCCCTGGGAGAGACTGGGGTGAGCTGGGGCACCCCGTCTCAGGACAGCACTGGGGACATGGCGCCCACCTCTCACGGACGGGGAGCCCCATGCAGTCTCAGGGGCTACAGCCTACAACGGTGCACCCGGCTGGCCCTGGTCCCCAAGCCCTGCGGCCCACCATCCACGCCCGCCGCGGCCCTGCTGTCACTCACCGAGAGGCGGGCAGCTGGGACGCGTGGGCCCCGTGCCCCACTGTCCACACCCACCCTGGGACTGACCCCCGTGTGTGTTCTCCCCAGCCTGGCCCATGCCCAGCAGCGGGGTCCTGATCAGGACAACAGGCCGCGGGGCTGCAGTTTTAGGCGCGGGCGCGTGGGCCTGGGCGCAGGCCGGGTACTTGGAGGAGGAGGGAGGTGACCCCCCCCACGTGGGCCACGGAGGTCACGCGAAGACGTGCTGTGTGCCACAGCTGTCCGGCTCCGACGGCCGGAGCCTATCCCGGCGCCCAGCCCGGGGCTGCCTCAGCTGCTGGTCAGGCTCTGCCCGCCCCAAGGGCACTGAGGGCACCAGCGGGCGGCAGCCAGAACCCAGACCACAGCCTCCTAAAAATAAAAAGTCCAAACTCACAGCAACCCGAGCCCTGGTGGAGACAATGCACGGCTTCGGGTTACAGCCCACCCCATATCAAGTTGACTAATGGGGGGGGGGTTCACTGGTGAGAAACCACAGAGGGGAGGGCAGCCGGAGGGACGGAGGGACGCACCAACCCTGGCCCTGGGGCTCCATCCCGCTCTCCCTCTGAGGAACCTAGCCCAGCTCCTGCCCTTTGACCCGAGGTCCCACTTCTGGGCCTCTAACCCACTGAACACCGGGGAGGTGGCAGGCGCCCCCCCGCACAGCCTGGCCCCCGCCGCCAGCGACCCCGTCAGCTCACCCTTGACGGTGACCTCTTCTCTCATCATGACCCCAGGACTTGGGGGCTCACACAGCAAAAACTTCCCCAGAGCACAGAACCCTGGCCCACTGGGATCACGAGACTGCGTGTCTGTGTTTTCCCAGGCGATTTCAGGCACTCGGACCTACTCTGTGCTGTTCCTGTGCCATCTCTCTTCTGCAGTGTGAGGAAGGAGCCAGCTCAGGGGCCACCAGGGCCACACGCCTCCTCCACCTCGAGCTGGGCTCTCGGTCCCCCTCCCCTGCCCCAGCGGCCCCTCGTAGTATGGCCCGGCCATGCGGGGGACCCTAAGGCCGTCATACACCCTCAGTCAAAGCCCAGGCCTCTCTTCCTCTCCCTGCCTCTCTCTCTCTCCCCCGTTCCCGGCTCTGCTACCCCCCCCCAACCTGCAAGGCCCTGGCTGGAATTCTGTGCCCCACACATCACCAACCCTCCCCCCACTCAGGCTTCACTCAGAGGCCCACCGGGCCGGCACACATTGGTGCCGAGTCCATTTACAGCAGGGAAGCTGGGCAAAGAGCCACAGGAGCTGTGGGTGGCAGAGGTGGAGTCTGAACCTGGAACTTCTGAAGTCAAAGCCGAGACTGGGGCAGTCACGGGCAGAGCACAAAGCTCTCCCAGGTACACTGAGGCACCTCAAGCACGTGCCTGGGGCGGGAACAAGGCACAAGTGGACAGTGGCATGTTGCACCCCACGCCAGTGGACCTGGCTTCGGCCCCTGGGGATGGCCCTGACCAGCTATGTCCATCCCGACCCCCACATCCTCTTTGTCGGTGGGGGGGGGCTTGGCCATGAGTCTCTAGGAAAGTCCGTGGGAGGCTCAGGGAGAGGAGAGGATTCTGCTTGTACAAGTCTCCACCAGCTCCTCCTGCGTCACTGCACCCCGAGAGGCTGTGGTGTGCAGGTGCGGCAACCATCAGAGCAGGCAGTGGTACAGACCTGAGCAGGAAGCACTGCCCCGGCCACGGATCCAGCCACGGATCCCTCTAAAACCCCAGACAGCCACACCCTGAGCCAGCCACTGCGGTGGTGCCCCACCCCAGAGCCCATGCCCACAGCAAGGGGACCTGAGCCAAGAAGGGCCCCGCACAGGTGTGTGCACGGTCATCAAACCATTGGGGGGGCGCCCACGGAGGGCCCTGGTTCCAGGCTCCCTAGCAACCTCCCCACGTGGGCCAAACTCCAGGCCCTGATGGCTTCCAGTCTGAACTGCTCGCCCCAGCCTCCAGGCGCAAAGCCCCTGTGCCAGGCAAGTGCCGACTCTCCGCCACCTCCCTGCCCTTCACCATCCTGCGGTTCCCTCCAGCAGCGTCCTGACCTTGCCTTTGCTTCTGCACGCAGGGACGGCTGGGTCAGCTCAACCACTGGGGACGTTCTGCCCCCCCGGGGCTGGGCACCTCGGAGATGGAGAATGAAGGCAGTTCCGTGACCCTGCTAGGTTGTTACGTCTCCCAGCCTGGGGGGCTGGGGGAGGGACTTCAAGTTAAGGTGACAAATGTCTGTGCTGTTAAGACACCTCCAAGCTGGTCTTCTTGTCATTCAAGCAGAAGCACCTGGACGCATCCTCACTTGCGTTTTCCTGAGCACTGGGTTGGGGGTGAGCCCGCGGAAGGGCCGAGGCCAAGTCGCCCTGCCACAGAGACACGGGGCCACCCACGGAGGCGGAGCCGCAGGGCCACCAGGGCTCAGCCCCGCCCACCTACACCTGGGTGACCTTGTGTGACCGCCGACCCACGCAGAGCTTTAGAGAAAATCCTTTTAAACAAAGCCTGTGTTCCCGTTGTCTTTTCAAGCACGCGCTTCGAAAGCAATCGAGTAGATTTTGCTTTTCATAAACGGGGCAAATGTCTTTGGGGAGAGTCGGGGAAATTAAGCCAGGCAAATCTCAAGAGGACGCTGGGGTGGAGGCCAGAGGAAGGCAGGGGACAGGGACAGGAGGGCAGCTGCCCTCTTCTTCCAGGAACCCCCCCCCACACACACACTCCGAGTCCTTCTGGGCCTGTGCCACGCGGGGCGGGGGTACAGCAGCCTCCACCACCTCCTCACCCAGGAACTAACTTCAGGTACTACGGGTCAGGGCGTCTTCTCCCTGTTCTTCAAACAGCTCCCTAGCCACTGCCCGGGGGGGAGGGGGCGGTGGCCCTGCCCCTAACACGGAGACACTGGCCGCCACTGTTGGACCTGTAATGGGGTCTGCGGGAGGACAGGTGCAATGTAGAGGGTCACGGGGGTGGGCGCCGCCGAGGTGGCTGGGATGTGTGTGTGACCCCTGCCTCCGGGTGACGGCCCTGGCAGTGACCCACAAGCCAAGAGGGGGCCTTGGAGGGGGAGGGGGGGTCGGCCCTGCACGAGACCAGGGTTCCTGTCCCTGAAGAAGACGCGCAGCCCCCGGAGGGCACGCTGCGGTCCCTCGGCCCCGGCCCTGCTCATCTGGCCATGGAGCCAGGTGACTGCGGGATCTTGTCCTGCCGCCCTCCCCACGCACGAAGCTCCCGAACACAGACCTAACCAGGCTCCCTAGACGCCGTGCAGGGTGCCGGTGGGCAGCCGGAGGCCGCCGTGGCGCCCGGGCCGGGTCTGTGGGGGCCGGGTCTGCGGCCGCTCCTCCAGGCCCGGGCTGCGCACGGCTGCGTGTACTCACCCTTGCAGACGAAACACTTGATGTGGAAGTACTTGTTCTGCACGCGCAGCACCTCCCCCCGACACACGTTCCCACACGTGTTGCACAGGATCGCCGTGCTGGGCGGCTGTTCCGGGGGGCTGCAAGCAGCCTGGGGCTGCGACACTGTGGGGAGAAAGCAGCCGGGTTTCAGGGGATGTGTTCAGGGCCGGGAGAAAGCCCACCCGCGCCCCGCCAGCGCCGGTCCACAGGGCTCACTGCACTCTGTGGCTGTTCCCCACACAGTGGTCCTGCCGCTGGCCTGTGAGGGCTGCCCCAAATCCAGAGCTCCACCCCTCCTCGGCTCGTGTCACAGGAACGCGAGGCCAGGGCTGTGGGTCTGGCCGCAGCCGCACGCACGGGAAGGTGCCACACCGCTCTGAGAGCTCGCACACGCACACGACACCAGGGTCACACTCACAACGTCACACACAACAGCACAGGCCCCCGGGGGGGGGGTCTTCCCCTCACCCCGCCACAGCTGCTCAGCCAGGAGACCATGCCTGTCCCGTGCCCGCCACAACCAAGCCCTGCATCCAGCCAGGCTGGGCGGGGCTTCTGTCCTCCTCTGCCAGGAGGCCACAGCGGGAAGCATACAGGGGGGACGGGTACCATCCGGGACAGAAGGCCTGCCCGGCCCAGGACTCAGGATAGCTCAGGTACTGAGCATGGGCCGTCCAGGAGAACGGCGGGCGTCGGTCTGCAGAAAGAGAGGCAGGATGGGACCTCAGGAAACGGGATGGCAAACAGGATGGTGCAGAGGCAGCCAGGGTCCCTGGGAGCGACAGTGACATTTTCCTCCCTCCCTCACTGCTACCCTCCCCGGGGGAGGGGAGACATGGGGTCACCTGGTCCAGAACGCTGCCCTAGCTCTACTTCCTAAAGGTCACAGCCTTTGGGGGGGGGTTCTTGAAAGTCCCTCTGTCAGTCCTTCTGTCTGACCTGTCCATCCACCCACCTTCCTTCTGCTGTCATTGCTCAGCCCTGTGGGTATGGAACCACAGGCTCTGCCTAGCTACCAGTCCACCACACACCATAAACAATGACGTTGCTATTTGCAAGGACAGATGGGCTCCAGGGATGAGACCCGGATGCAGCACTGGTCTGGAATGCACAGGGCCCTTGACTCGGTCCCAGCCTCCAGAACAAGACCAGAAAACACGGACCATGACAGTTCACAGATTACTGGAAGTACACTTGATCTGGGGTAGAATATTATCAGTGTGTGTGTGTGTGTGTGTGTGTGAGTGTGTGTGTATGCTAGTGTCCTGAGTCTTGAACTCAGTGCCTAGGTGCTGTCCCTGAGCTCTTTCGCCGAAGGCCAGCACAGCCACAGCTCCACTATTGGCTTTTCTGGTGGTTAACCGGCAATAAGAGTCATAGACTTTCCTGGGTAGGCTGGCTTCGAACCGAGATCCTCAGATCTCAGCCTCCTGAGCAGCTGGGATGACAGGTGTGAGCTATTTTAGGCGGTTCATTTGTCCAATGGTGCCTGCCCCACCTGGGGCCCCCTACAGCCCCTGCACCCCGCCTGCAGGCCAGTGGCAGGTGCTGCCCCCTGGTGCTGGGAAGTGATACTGCACCATGTGGACCACACCTGGCAGCCCAGGGCAGGGGGTTGCTGTAGGTTTCTTGGCTCAGCAGTTCAGGCCCGATTAGCACAGGCTGGCAAACCTCAGCTCGTTGGAGATGAGGGGTGGACTGACCGACACCTCCCCCCACATGGTGGTGACACACACAGCGGTGGCTCCCGAAGGGGACTGTCCCCTTCAGGGCAGCAGGCAGCAGGCTGACCGCTGCCACCAGGGCTCACAGAGACGCTCCGCCCATGCACGTCAGCACCGCCCGCACACAGCAGTGCCTAGGGTTTGTCTCTGTGGCCCCGGGACAGGGTAAGTCCATCACAGTCAGCTGCCCTGGGATGCCGGGGCCCGAGGTCACTGCCCACGCTGAGGGGAGGGTGCGTGAAGGCTGGACGCTGGCAGGGCCCAGGGGACCCAGGGCCTGGGGACTGTGTGAGCCTCACCCATGACTGGTCTTTCTGAATCCGCTCCAAAGCCGGGACTCGGGAGCCAGCTGGCACGCTCCGCTCTGGAAGGCCAGGGGTGGCCTGGCGGCCGGACAGTGCAAGCACAGTGGCCGGCGGGGAGCAGGCCTCCCGACAAAGGCACAGGCGCCTCCCAGGGTGGGCCGGCTCCTGCCCCCCCTCCCCAGCTCAGAGGCTCTGCCAGTGGCGGGCAGCGTCTGGGGGGGAGGGGGCAGCACATAATTTAAAAATGGTTTTGTGTGCTGGTACGAAGGCCTGAACTCAGGACCAGGACTCTCTCCCTTGGCTTTTCATTCAAGGCTGGCATTCTGGTACTTGAGACACACAGCTCCATTTCTGGCTTTTTCATAGAGGGGCGAGACTCCTGTACTTTTCTGCCCAAGGCTGGCTTCAGAAAACCTCAGTCCTCAGATCTCAGCCTCCCAAGTGGGATGACAGGAGTGAGCTCGGCTCGGCTTTTCTCCGGCCCCACGGTGCTTCGGCTCCATCAGAGGGGCAGGCAGGCGTCTGCTGTGCCCTCTGGATGCCCCCCGCCCCCCGAGGCCAGCACGGTGGCCCACTTCACAGGCGAGCAGCTAAGTGGTGCAGGGAAGCCGGAGTTCAAGGTACTCGGGACCCCGCATGTTCGTTTTCTGTGTGTGCCAGGGCTGAGCCTTGAACTCAGGGCCTCAGCATCGCCCCGTTAGCTTTTTCACTCAAAGCTAGCACTCCTGAACCATAGCTCTACTTCCAGCTTTTTGGTCATTCGAGTCTCACGGACTTTCCTGTGCAGACTGGCTTTGAACCATGATCCTCCGATCTCAGCCTCCTGAGGGGCGGGGATGGCAGGTGAGAGCCACCGGCGCCCGGCCCAGCCACGTTCTTAACAATGCCTTCAGTGGTGATGCAGACACCCTAACTCAGCAAGGCCTGCCCAGCCTGTGACCCCACGGCTGCCTCGCCCTGAAGGCTGGGCTGAGTGCATGCTAGGGACAGAGGAGACTCCGCCCTGCACAGCCAGCCACCACGGGACGCTTCCGCATCGAACAGAGGCTCTTAGTGCCCCTCCCTCAGCAGGCGACAGGGGCACAAACTACGGGCACTCAGGTGGGACAACAGTGTACGCCCACTACAGAGAAATGCCCCACAGGCCCGTGGGGAAGAGCTCTTGCTGCCAGCGGGAAAAGGAGAACCCCGCCCGTAGTAAGAAGTGGGGGTGGGGCTGAACACGCAGGGCGCGGAGCATCTGGGGGCGCTGACACGGCTCTGTACCACTTCTGCAGGGGTGGACACAGGCCACAACATCTGTCCACACTCAGAACCCACAGCGCCAAGCATGGAGCCTGGCATACGCCGTCCCTCTGGTTCAAAACAGCAAATTAGCCGGGCACCGGCGGCTCACGCCTGTCATCCTAGCTGCTCAGGAGGCTGAGATCTGAGGATCACGGATCAATGCCCGCCTAGCCAGGAAAGCCCGTGAGACTCCAATTAACTACTAGAAAACTGGAAGTGGTGCTGTGGCTCAAGTGGTAGAGAGCTCTCCTTGAGCTGAAATGCTCAGGGACAGTGCCCGGGCCCTGAGTTCAAACAAACAAAAATAACAGCTAGTCAGCACTGGCTCTGGTTCTTCACATACACGACACACAGTGCCAGGGGAAAGCCGTGGCAGGCGTGGGGAACACACACGTGGGAAGTCTCTGAGCTTCCTGCAAACTAAAAACTGATCAATAACGCCTATTTATAAAAAACTGAAACACTGAGCCAAAGAGTAGAAGATGCCAAAGGTGCTGAACCACCAATGGAATGAATGGATAAAGAAAAGACATTGTTTGGATAGTGGAATAGTATTCAATCATAAAGAAGACGAGATTAGGTTATTAATTGGAAAAATGGATGGAATTAGAGATCATGTTGGACAAAATAAGATAATCTCATAAAAGACAAATAGCACATATGCTCCCATATCTGTGGTATAAATAGCTAAGAAATATAAGTAGGTATATACATACTTTTATACATACACTTATATAATATTATATAGATTATATATATATGGAGAGAGAAGGGTGGGCGAGTGTGTGTGTAGCTGTGACTATGGCTGGGGATTTTAGGGAGAGAGAGAGAGAGAACAGGAGCAGTGGACGGTGTTGGAATAGTCTAGGTACGCAGACGGCATAAGGAAGCTCACTGCCAGCTGTTGAAGGAAGAGGCTGGAGAACAGGGAGAGAGAGCGAGAATCTGGCTAGATCATAACCTATACATGTGTGAAATACCAAGGTGGAGTTACTTTGTACAATTAATAATTAATAATTGTTATCATGGGGCCTGAACTCTGGGCCTGGGCGCTGTCCCTCAGCTCTTCAGCTCAAGGCGAGCGCTCTACCATTGGAGCCACAGCACCACTTCCTGTTTTTTGGTGGTTAGTTGGAGACATGAGTTTCATGGACTTTCCTGCCCCAGCTGGCCTAGAGCCATGATCCTCGGATCTCAGCCTCCAGGACAGCTACAGGTGTGAGGCACGAGGGCCTGAAATGCTCTGAAGGAGAGGGAGGGTGATGGGGGGGGTGGATATGGTGTCAACGTGTGTGGAAATGGACACTAACGCCCCTTGTACGATTCAGAGGTGCTAATAAAAGCCTTTTAAAAAGTGTAAACACTGGAGAGGGAACTACAATCAATACCTGGCGACCTTGGCGCACGCGCGCAGCCCAGCTGCGCTGTAATTTCCAGATGGGTTTTCGTGTTAGGCGGCGGCCGCCCGCTGGGGTAATGACAGGAAGCAGACTGCAGAGCACTGACCATGAGCCCTGCAGCCATGGATGCCCCGTTCCTTCACTGGGCATGGGGGGGCTCCCTCAGGGCGGGGCCCGCGGCCCTACCTCCAGACCCCCAGCCCCCAGCGGGCTTCCTGCCCCCGCCGGCCCAGGCCCACTGGATGGGGTCAGAGCTGAGGAGTTTGGATGGGGGAGACGCAGGGCGACGGCGGAGCACCCACGCTCTGCCCCGGTGGCCTGTCCTCACCCCTCTGGTGGAGCTACTGTTCCCCGGGGGTCCCGCAGTGCAGCCCCTGCATCCACCCCCAGGGGGCAGCGCAGGAGGGGGGCCTCACCCCTGCTCCCCCCTCCCCACGTCAGAGCGCACAGTCTTCCTTCTAACCTACTTAGAGGCCGGCTGCTAATTATAACCACCAGCCCGGAAGCCGTTCCCCACGCTCGCGAAGCTGCACTGCCTGGTCCAGCCGGCGGGCCCTGCGGGGCTGGCCCCGCCGCCCCTCGGTCCTCCGCGGGGCCTGCTCCCCTGCCCGGCTCGGCTGGTGTGGGGCCTGCGTGGGAGGCAGACTTCCCGCACCGCCGGATGACGGACGTGCCGCCACGCCTGCCCAGCCTCGGCTGGCTGAGATGGAGTCTCATGAACTGGTAGCCCGGGTTGGCCTCAAACTGTGTGGCTGGAATTACAGGCATGAGCTGTCTCACCCCACATAAGTAACTTTTAAAGGGGGAGATCTGGAGGCAGAGACAGCTACAGAGGCGCTGGGGAAGGGGCGTGAAGGGACACGGGTACCAGCTGGCAGGCCGTCCCTCCTGGCCATGCCACGCCTGGCCCTTGGACCTCCGACCTGCAGCACTGCAAGACACAGCGGCCAGGACGGCTCCAGCCGCCCGCCTGTGGCCCCACCGCTGGCCACCTGCACCTCCGGCACACACACCGAGGCCGGCGGTGCACTGCTCATGTTGGGCCCTGGGCCGGGACCCGTCCTGGCCCACCCTGGGTGGGGTGTTTGTAGGCGGGGAGGGCACCCCGGCAGCCCCCCCCCGGGCCAGCAGCGGGTCTGTGACTCCCGTCCAGTGCTCATCCCCTGCGCTTCCTCCCGGTCTCCAACGACCGCAGATGCCCGTAAACATCCCTCCAATCCAATGGAAAACAGGAAGCGCGTCCGTGCCTGCCCAGAATCATCTGTCCACCGCGTCTGGTTCTGGCTCGTCCAGACCAGCACCGCACTTGGCAGCTCCCTGCGACCAGGGTCAGGGGGCCGGGAATCCCGGCTCCTTCCGTGTGGGGCCTGGGGACCGCGGTCTCTCCTCCACTGGACACACTTCCTGCCTGGTGGGGAACGGCTGGCCTACTGTGTACCTTGGTGCCAAGCGCGGGTGACCCCTTGGCGTCCGGCTGGCACCGAGCCTCGAGGCACCATTCCCCAGGCGATGCGCCTGCGCAGCAGCCACAGCCTGGGCTTAAACACACATGTGCGTATGCCGGTAGCTGGGGCCAGAGCGCCCCGCCTGTTTCAATGGGCCTACCTAGGGCACAAAGCCCACGGGAGGGCATTTGAGAACGCACTGGCCATAGCACCCCCGGGCCGTGGCTGCGTCCCGGGGCGTCTCATTCCACTAGAACTTCTCCCCCGAGGGGAGAGACCGGTGAGCTCCCTGTGCATACACTCTCCTCTGCCCAGACATGAGGTGGAGGTGCCCGCTCCACAGGGCTGGTCTGCAGGTCACGGGCAGCATGGTGGCCCCAGGGTACGCTGGCTTGGGGTAAAGGACACCTCTGATTTCTAGTTCCCTCCTTGAGTGGGTATGGGGGGGCTCAGCAGCCACACCCACAGTCCAACCAATAGGACATGCTGCCATGGGGAACCAAGGCTCAGAGAGGCTCAGTAACCTGACAAGAACACACAGCCAAGGGGCAGGTGGGGACCAGGCCCTGGGCCCCTGGCTCGGCCCCTCCTCTCTCTCTCACCCTTGACCTCCCTGCTCTTCTCATGTTCTCCTGCCGCTGCGGGCCAGGCAAGGCTGGCATTGGAAAGCACTTCCTGGGCATCCAGTTAGAACTGGGCATCAGAAGTGCTGGCCAGGAGTCGGGAAAGCTGATCTGCCGTGTGTGATGACAGGAGGCCCGTCTGCCACCTTGGCAAGCCGGAAGCGCAGCAGGCCCTGCCTGTGACACCCCCAGCCCAGGACACCCCACTTCCAGGTGCCTGGTGCCCATGCCACCACACACTGGCCACGGGCAGGCAGGGTGTGCTGATATCCGGTCAGTCATGACCAGCACTCAAGCAACGCAGACGGGCGGGGGGGGGGGTAGGGGAGGGGGAAGCAGGATGCCGGCCCGGCCGGAACCATCAGCAGCCTCCAGAAACACTGGGGCCCTGGGCTTCCATAACAAAAATAGCTGCTGTGTGACTTGGAAGGGATTGCCACTCCCTGGGGAAACCTGAGAAGGACCAGACACTTGAAGCTTGAAAATCCCTCTGTCCCCAGCCTCGCGGGTCCCTGGCCTTGCTACCTGCGACCCCGCAGGTCATCAGCGCGTGATAAAACAGGACACGATGTGTGACGGGGCACAGTAACCTGTCTGCTCGCGAGGCTGAGCCTCCACGGGGCGTCTGGGACAGGCTGTCTTCAGACGTGGGCCAGGCACACCCCTGGCTGAGGTAGAGCCCACAAAACCTACCATTCACCTGGTAAAAAAAAAAAAAAATCTACCATCCACTGTCTGTCAGTACCATCATGATTGTCTGCTCATCAACGTACTCGATTTTCATCACCCCAACAAGCCTGGCCCCCTTTCCTTTACCCTCCCCAGCGACCCACCCTTGGCCTCCGGCTCTGGATTGCCTGTCCTGGGCACATGGTCACACAATGGAATCACCAGCATGTGGCCTCCGACGTCACGTCCGCTTCTGTCCCTTAGCATCCTGTTCTCAAGGTTTACTGGCAATGTGGCAAGTTCTCAGAATTCTACTCCTTTGTGCGTCGTAGACATGGCTTACGTGTGTTCTTGGGGGCTATCATGATCGAGCCTGCTGCTCACATTGGTGGCCCGTTTCTGTGTGGACACGTTTTCCATTCTTCAGGGACTACCCTAGGAGCGGAATTGCTAGGTCACGTGGTCGCTGTGATTCTGAGGAGGCCTCAGGCTGTCCCCCCCCCGCCCCCAGTTCTCATCTCTCCACATCCTCACCCTCGGCTCCGGGCACACAGGACCTCGCTCTCTGGCCGCTCACATGGGAGTGCAGCGCTGTCTCACTGTGATTTGCATCCCCCTGAGGGCCTGTGATGCCGGCCATCTTCCGTGTGCTCACGGATGCATCTCCCTGGGCCATGTGTCCACTCAGATTCTCGGCCCACATGGTGAGCTGGCTGCATTTTCATGAATGAGTCCTAAGAACTGATTACTTTCTACACAAGGCTTCTCTCAGACCTCAGGCCTGGAAAGGCTCTGCCCCGGTCTGAGCTGCATTTCACTTTCTTCTGTGACCTTGGATGCACCAATGGCTTTCGTTTGGCTGAAATCCTGTTCACGTAGTTTTTCTTTTCATGGCTTGTGTCCTTAGTGTCACTTCTAAAAAGCTGTGGTCTGGCTGGGAAGGAGCTTCATGGTAGAGTGCTTGCCTAGCATGCATCAAACCCTGGGTTTGATTCCTCAGCACACAGAAAAAGCCGGAAGTGGTGCTGTGGCTCAAGTGGTAGAGTGCTAGCATTGAGCAAAAAGAAGCTCAGGGACAGCGCCCAGGCCCTGAGTTCAAACCTCAGGACTGGCAAAAAAAAAAAAAAAAGCGGTGGTCTAGCCCGAGACAGTGAATACGTTTACCCCGGCTTTCTCCTCTGAGAGTCACGCTGTGACTCGCTGTGCGGCGACCCCCTGCTCCCTGCCTCCGTGGTTTCCGTGAGACGCGGTTTTCTGACAGCCAGGAGCAGCAGGCTGCGGCAGGCCCCTGCGGCCCTGCTCTGTTGTTCCCGTTCCCTCTCACCGGCGCCACGCATCGCCAGAGCTCACAGGCGGGGTGGGACAAGAGGGAGGAGGTCCCTACACATGCCGCCTGGAAATTCCACTGGGGAATGGGCACTGTCTCAGGTCCCAACTCTGGATCGGGCCGCTTGCCCCATGCTCCCCGAGGCTGGCCTGCGGGCGGGAAGCCACCGCCTCTGCGTGTGGGAAACATCAGACATAGTATGCTCGCACAAATGTGTAATGGAGACCCCCCAATCTCCCACCCCCCAATCACCCTCTTCTATAGCACTTAGGGGAAAGAGGGGCAATCAAGGGGAGGGGACACTGCAGGGGGAGTGGGGGAGCAGGACCCCGGAGCTGCTGCTGGGCTCAGAGTCCTACACAACTGCAGGCCTACAGAGCTGGGGTCCAGGCTCCATCCGCCCTCCTCTCCCACCTCCCCCGACTTCCGTCCCCTGTCACCGTCACCATACAGGCCGGAGTGCAGCACCGGAGCCCCACAGAGCCTCCTTGCTTTCACCCCAGTACCTGAGGAAGCCTGCTCCCACACAAGCACCCGAGCCGGCCGAGGACGGCTCCGGCGCCGCGTCCCTGGGGCCGTGGGTGCACTGCAGGACGTCCTAGAGCAGCCCTGGCCTCTGTCATATTCTGGCTGACAGTGGTCCCCTCCCTAGCTGTGACCACCACCTCTGTTCCCTGGAGACCCACTGCCTGACAGAATAAAGGGGCTGGGAAGGTGGCTCAGTGGCAGGGCACTTGCCTCACATGCACGAAGCCCTGGGTTCGAGTCCTCAGCACCACATACACAGAAAAGCTGGAAAGTGATGCTAAAGCAAAAGACTCAGGGACAGTGCCCAGAGTTCAAGCCCCAGGACTTGCAAAAAAACAAAAACAAAAAAAAAGGAAGGGAAGAGAGAGAAGAAAGGTCAGGCATGTGGAGGGCACCATAACCGGGCCTGGCTGTGACACCATCCAGTTGCTGTAGGCCCGGCCCGTCCCCCCCACCTCCCCCCACCCCCGTCCCAGCCTGTTCATCTATAAGGTGGAGGTCCTTCCCCGTGCAGTCTGTAGAAGAGTCATTCAGCCCTGCAGACAGCTGCCCTCCCGACAGCTGCCCTCCGTGCTGGCCCTCACTCCCATCAGAGCTAGACTGGACCCCTCTCAGGTCAGACCCTCAGTGCTTCTCTGAGGGGCTTTGAATGTTACATAGACAGTGAGCTCTCTGCCGGGTGCTGGTGGCTGATCCCGAGGATCACAGTTCGAAGTTAGCCCAGGGAAGGAAAGTCTATGAGACTCTTAACTCTAATTAATCATCAGAAAATGGGAAGTACAGTGGTGGTTCAAAATGGTAGAGGACTAGCCTTGCGCAAAACAACTCAGGGATAGTGCCCTGACCCGGAGTTCAAGCCCTATCACCACCACCAGCAGTAACAACAAAAAAGAGCTCTCCTGCCTGGCCAGGGCTGGCCAGGCCTTTACCTGTCCCTCCTCCACGCACACCCATGGCGGAGCCTCCTCCCGAGTGACCGGTGGCTGGCTCTCCCTCCGAAGCTGGACCCTGCAGTGCCGAGCCCTTGGGCAGCAGCTGGGTGAGTGAAGGCTGGCATCTCTACCGAGGAGAAGCCAAAGGGTCACATGGAAATACCACCCGGGTGCCAAGGGCAGGGCCAGGCCCTTCCCAGAACACTGAAATAAACTCGCACCATGCAGCCAGTCCAGAGAAGCACCTGTTTCCTAGACATCCGGGAAAGAGACTGAAAACATGCCAGGGTGGGGTGTGGGGGGTGGACAGCGTGCGCAAGCACACAGTTCCCATAGCCCTGTGCCAGGGAAATCCAACCAGAGTTCCAGCGGAGGACCCCAGCAGACATCTTTCTCCCCAGTTCTAGGGCTGGAAGTCTAGAATGGCTCGGGACCATGGTCGCCAAGGCCAAGCGCGGGGGTGTTTCCCCTCCTCCGGGAGCTCCTGGCAGCTCCCAGCCTCCTGTCCTGTCT